TTTCCGCACGCAGCTTTACACCAAACGACCTCCTCAGTCGAGGGCTCAAATTCCATAAAGCAGATTGGACAATCTCCATCGACTGGTTTTCTTTTGCCAGACTTATTTTCCCCTGACGAGTCGTCTTGAGGGTTCAGTGGAGCATTCGCAAAAATCACACGGAGTTCCTTGGGGTGATTCGAAGTTAGAGATTGTTAATAAATTCCCCCTCGAAGACACACAGGAGCGACCGATTTCTCACCGATGATAGGAATGCCCTTTGATATGCAAGGTAACCTGTCACTTTAAGGACATTGCATAGGACCTGTAGTTCCAATTAGACGTGTCCCTGCTATCTAATAGGAAATAATATAAAAGTTCGCCAGTGAAAGCGTACATAAATTATATGCTTGCATTGGTTTCCCTTCTCTGCGTCAGGACACGTACACGAAGGCTCCAAGGCGATCTCGACTTGATAGATGTTCCCGGTTGTCCCTACAATATGGACCCTCTCCGTAGGCACATCTTCCGTACCTTCTCTCGTGCGACTAACGACAAACATCCTGACAAGATAGATATCGTTAGAAAAACAATACCACGATGCGCACGCTGCAGAACATGCCAAAATATGCCACGTACCTCTGCGTCCTCGCTCTATCTAGCTTCTGCAAATAGCTTTGGGGTGCATGGTTTCGGAACATGCGTAGCCTGCGCTCCTCTTTCTCGACCACGGGGGGTTTTTCAACCTTCTTCCGCTTGTTGGGGTTTGGAGGTTGAGCTTGAGGGGTGGTGCCTCGACATGTTAAATCGATGACGGGCCTATTCCCACCCGCGATTGCATTTTGGACTTGCCTCCGTCTCACTGAACGTGGTGTAGGGGCTGCATACTCATCTTCTTGGGTCTCCTCATGGCGGCGCTTCGTACCAGACCTCCGCTGCGTACTAGGAGCTCGGGATATAGCAGCGTATAGTGGCGGACATCCGGGGTTGCTTGCCATATTGTTAGGTGTAGTCATTGAGGGGAAGAGGTTTGAGTGCGAATCTCGTAAGTTAAAACTCGGAAGCTTTTATGCAGAGTTGTGATTCAAAAGTTTTAGGAGAGTGTCTGGCTTTGATAGAACTATACGGAGTGGTTGTATAACTAGTTAAATAGTTCAAAATCTACGGATGTTAGTTAACTAGTTACCCTTAAAATCTGATAACCCTGAAAATTTAACTGGGTCAGAGTCTAGCATGCATTGTTCTGCACATGCACAAACTTGTGTAACAAAATAAAGCTCAATTCGAAAATTCAAATAAATAGCAGTTCTCCTATTACTTTCTTGAAGATCATTCCTGGCTAACTACAGCAGTACGAGACACTGAGGAGCAGAGTAGCTTGCAAGGAGAATATAGAAGCTAGCTGAGTAGAGTTGAATGTAGACAGATCCTGGATAAAGATATGTAACGACGTCGAACCCACTCCTGATCTTCTCGCATATAGCATATTTTGATTTTAAGCATCGGTAACTCCACTTGAGCATCCTTCTGCGTTTCCCCCCAGAAAGCCCATGATTAACAGCCACTTACCGCCACTTGTAGGTATTTGTATATAACAAGAAGCAACCTACCCTATTCATGGGACCTTACTGGGGGACCAGCTTCTTCACCGACGGGGTGGTGTCAGCAGCTGGGAGGCCGTAGAGGAGGAGGAGGAGGAGCAGAAGTAGCAGCAGATGTATCGAATCACTCTTTTCCGCACCTCATGCATTCCCCGTCAAAAGCCCGGTATAGAAGATACCGATGTTTGCTCGTCAAGAGGCACGGCTCAAGGAGTTCCGTTATCCGGATAACCTTGTGTTTTCAAAAATTATATCATTTGGGAGTTGAGAAACACCCTCATCCCGGCACATCCTACCGTGTCAACCGCTTTAGCAGTATCCATGCGTCTGGGTGGTATGCAAACTCATCGATGAAATGCCGATTGCTGACTGTTGTTGGAAATTGAAGAAACCCTTGTAATTTTGGGCAACTTGCACCTATTTCTTCTCATTGGCGCGGTCATAAAAATGATATTAATTTAAAACAAAGCTCAATCCACTGAAGCACATAGATTAAAACACGAGTTTCCTGGAGGTGGGTAACTGGGAGTATTTTCTTCCCTATTTCCCACTCCCAGTCGGTTCGGGGTGGTGGCCTGGCTCCCCGACCGGGCCCTGACCAATAAAGAGAAAATCATCTTTGAGATGGCTGCAAAGTTTTGCATGTTGTGGTTACAGCCCATAGTTTCAGCAAATCCTTGTGAAAATCCAGATTATTTGCCTTGCCCAGGGTTTATGTTTAAACTATTTATTTAGATATTCAAAATGCCAAGACCATAGTTTACATTGTTTGTCGTAGTTCGTCGGCGGGGAACCAACGGCGTGATGTCGGAACAACACGTAGGTAACCAACAACCTCCGCCCAGCAGCTGGTTAGAGCTTGATTGTTCATGTGCACAATAGTTATCCTGGCGGTGTCTTTGATCTTATCTCTTAATCCAGAATCTATTTCCCAGCTAGGCGGAAAATCACACAACAATCCCCGATTGGCATGAATACTCCGCATGGCTCGTCCTCGTGCTCTCTCCGGGGCTGATATGGCCAAGGAGCCCCATTCAGTTTCATTAAAAGGTGTGTACATACATGCACTTTGATTATGCGTGCTTGTCGGGTTTGCGCAATTACTGGCTGATATGATAACCTAGTTCTACGGTGAGATTTTTTGGCCCTGTGCAACCAAAACAAGCCATTTTTCTCGATGCTTATACCACCGCCATTCCCAATTCAAACAGACTGTCACGACCATCCCTATCCTTTCAATATCCACTTCCAAGTGAAAACGAAAATATCCCCGTCAAAGCCTCGCTCAGCTTCCCCTCCGATAGTTCAGACAATCAATTCATCCTCAGCCCAAATGTAAGCTGCACAATGCTGCGATATCTTGTCTATTCAGAACCTCCAACCCTAACATGAGATTAAAGGTCACCCTCCCTCCAGCATTCGGCTCTGCCTACGTCGGCGAAACGTTCTCCTGCTCATTATGTGCAAATAGTGAGCTTCTTCCCGACTCCGACAACCGGGTCGTCAGCTCCGTTCGCATCATTGCAGAGATGCAAACGCCCTCTCAAAACGTCGTGTTGGAGCTTTCCCCTTCCGGAGAAGATTCGCATTCTGGCGGGTTAACAAAGTCACAATCATTGCAGAAGATAGTCCGGTTTGATTTGAAGGAGGAGGGAAACCATGTTCTTGCTGTCAGTGTCAGTTATACGGAAACGATCATGGCGCAGGCTAGGGAAATGCCAAGCAGTGGTGACACACAGGCGGCAAGTTGGCGAGTACGGACGTTCCGGAAACTCTACCAATTCATTGCCCAGCCATGTTTGAATGTGCGGACAAAGGTGACGGAACTGGCCCATCACGAAGTGGATAATAGGGCTCTTGGTCCTTATGGAAAGACACGGTTGCTGAGATACGTGCTTGAGGCCCAACTGGAGAACATTGGAGACGGTGCGATATCTCTTGGAGTATGTTTTCATACTGTTCTGTTTTCCCCAGATTTTACGCCGTTCTTTCCATACGTACTTCCTTTTCATTATCAGTTAACGGTTTGCACGTTTAGTCCACCACACTCAATCCAAAACCACCCTTCCAGTCAAGGTCGCTGAACTGGGACTTTGAACAGCCCAATTCTTTGGAAATGCGTCCACTCACCCTAAGTCCCCGCGATGTTCTCCAGGTTGCTTTTCTTGTAGAACAGGAGCCAGGACAACAAGAAGGCCTTGAAGGCTTGCAGAAGGATATGAGTCGGGATGGGCGGACCACCCTTGGACAGCTATCTATTGAATGGCGAGGTAGTATGGGGGATAGAGGATTTTTAACCACCGGAAATTTAATGACGAAGAGACGGTGATTTCATCATACGATAGGATTATTTAACGGAATAGAACATATGCGAGCGGATATACCGCCGAAGCTATCCACTGTTGGTTTGTATCTCTATTGACAGAACGTTGCTGTATTTTGTGGAACAGATTTCATGGCGATTTTTTGGAGTTAGATAACCCGAGGAGTCAGTTCTCATATTGCTGAGCACAGCCTGGCGATGCATTGAGAATTTTAATCTCTCGTTTACTCCGCATTTTGGGTGTCAACTATTGCTTGTCATCCCGTCTGGAAAAGTCATGAACCCGGTACGATTTATGTAACAGCTTTTCTCGTTGGGTTAGGTGTTCATAAACCCGATGACCCGGTACTCGGTCGCTTCTCCAGATAATAGTCAATGCCGAATATCCCTAACTCGGCATCTCGTCGCAGCAGCGCCGAATGAGCAAATGCCAAAGCCCCGGTTGACGGCTTCGATGATGTTCATAGACGGCAATGGTTCTAACTCCAGGCGATAATTTTATCTTCAGTCACGATATGCAAATTCTCAGCCGAACATGCTTAATTTCATTTCCATTACGGAGCATTTCTAACTCTTCGATCTCTCTACGGCACAATATTTCCTCGCTGATCGACGAGAGTAACTTAGATAAATTTTAAACTAATCAAATGACCTCAGGACTGGCCTCCAACTGAATCTTTTTTGAGTTTTCTCCATACCAGCCACCACAAGCAGCTCCAAGCCTCCAACTGGGAATAGTGGATGGAGATCGCAGATTTTTGAGATCACGCAGGCGCGAGTTTGAGACATTTTCAAGCTTCTGCGATCGTAATTAATAGCAGCTAGTCACTCCCTGATCAGTCGATTCCTATTGCAATGCAGATCTATCACCCTACGATCGTGGATGGACGCGGTTTGTCCGCGGCTAAGGACTTTTGTTTCCAGGAGTGCTGTGTCCCACTGCTACTTTTGAGAAGGCTGTTGAGAAGCCAGATGCTGCAAAGAATATTTACTTATTAAGGATGTTATTAAATAGATGTCTGAGGTCATTCCTTTACTGTAAGGTTTTGACATGCATTTTCATTTCTCATGCTGATGGTGACCTCCAGTACGGCAACATGAAAAATAATAACCGGGTCCTGTTCCTCACAAACTGCGAGTCCGGCCTGGCCAATGTTCATTTGGCAACCGCCCACTCTATTCTGACAAGTTATCCAGACACCGAAGTCCACTTCGTATCTTTTCCCAGACTCGCGCCGTTCGTGGAGAATGTCAATAAATATGCGACACGGCAGTCCCCATCAACCGGCCTTGACAATGTCAATCGTATAATTCTCCATGAGCTTTCCGGTCCATCATACGGGAAAGCGCTCGTTTCAGGGTGGACGAAAACCCATGACGATGTGATACATGGACCGGGGCTCTCGGGCTTGTCACATTTGACTCGGTTTGTGGAGAGAGCGGCTGTACCCTGGAATGGGTCTGAATATGTCGGGCTGTACCGTGAAGTTTGCCAGTTGATTAACGAGATAGACCCAGCCGTCACCGTTATTGACACGCTTTTTGCTCCTGGGGCGGATGCTGTCACGTCTTTGACACGGAAATATATTCTTATGTCCGCGAATGCTTTGTCGGACAATTTTGCAGGGAGTCAGCCTAGAGCTGCAATGCTTTGGAAGTTTCCCGCGTGAGGAATACCTGATCCCCTTTCCCCTCTTCACAGCTTTTGCCTTTAGTACAAAACTTATGGAAGATTCCTCAATTGTTGTTAACGGTACTGAGAAGTTATTAAAACCATGTTAGATTTTCCTCAGGGTACCCCTTTCCCGTTCCATGGTATCTCATTCCAGCAAATATCCTCTACAACCTTCGGCTCTTGAAAACTATAGCGTTCGGACCTCTGCAGCGGGAATTGACTGCCCATACCAAAAGCCAGGGTCTTGGTAAACCTCGAGATGTCTTCAACATATATGACAAAAACGTCCCATGGCTTAGCCCGTCCCTGGTGGAGAGTGACTACCCACTTGTAATTCCATCAAACGTAACTCCATGCGGACCTATATTCCTTTCTCTGGGCTCGATACCTGAAAGGGACCCTGAATTGGCAGCATGGCTAGAACGCGCACCCACTGTTCTAGTAAATCTTGGTAGCATGACCACATACAGCCAAGCGGATGCCGAGGAGATGGTTGGCGCCATCCGGATTCTCCTTGACAACACTGGAGTGCAGGTGCTGTGGAAATTTTTTAAACGACACGACTACAGTGACGACTTTTTAATACCTCTTGCTGACGACCTAGCTTCGGGCCGTGTGAGGATTGAAGGGTGGATTAGCGTAGAGCCAGCATCTTTATTAGAAAGCGGGCATATAGTGCTTTCGGTCCATCATGGTGGATCGAACTCATTCCATGAGGCTATTGGGTAAGTTACATACATCCCTCTCTTCTCTGCATCCAAGGCCCTTCATATTTGGGTATTTCTGTATGAACTGCACGTTCCTGGCTAATTGAGATCAAGTACTGGAATACCACAGATAGCTTTGCCTTTATGGGTTGATTGCTATGGGTATGCAGTTCGGGCTGAGTGGCTGGAGGTAGGGATTTGGGGGAGCCGCAAGACGGCTCCAAGCTGGACAGCGAAAGAGCTGGGCCAGGCGTTTTTGACTGCAGTTGGGGATGGTGCAGAAGCCAAATTCATGGCCGAGAAGGCAAGAAAGCTGGGTGAATTGGCGAAAAAAGCGCCTGGTCGTGTGGTGGCTGCGAGAAAGATCGTCGAGTACATGAAAATGAAGCTAGGAGAGAGTGAAGAGAGTGAGGTTCCTTCACATAACGGGACTGGCCCTGTTGTAAAGGAACTGTAGGCAAATGTTATCATGCCTACATTTTATATCTGCTAATATAGAAAAATAGGTTACTAATAATTAATGTAGCAACTACAAATTCTAGAGAGAGATGTTCTTAAGATCTTGTGCTCATTCATGATTCATGAAAGATCAAGATCTTTATGCATGTTCTTCGTAGCCATTTGAGAAGAACCTACTAAATATACGCTTTTTGTATGGGCATCACTATCAGGCGTCCTGTATGTAATGCACATGCTCACCTTGCCTACCTCACCATTTGATAAATCAGAGAAATGATTGGTTTCTATGGACTGTGAATCGAATATAGAACCGCTGTCTAGCTAAATCTTTGTTGCACTCGGCAAATTCAGAGTGCATCTCACTAGAAGCCCATTGGCATATTGGCAGCATCCTCTTTGCTTGTAGTGGTGCTAGTCCAATTAATGTCGTCAAATCGAGGGGACAATATTTGAATGTTAGGAGGTTGCAGTTTGAATCCTTCAGTTCCGAAATACTTAGGCACAGCCAATCACGGAGAGATGGAGGTTCAGCTCCAGGGCTTACAGGGTGCAGCGACTTGTCAATTTTTATATATATATATGTCATAATTGCCATCCAGATGATAATTTCCCGCAACCATTGGGGCCTTCGATGATGGATATTGGCACACCAGGAACTTCATGCGGCGACAGTTGCTGTAACTAAAAGATCTCGGCTGCTTTGGTGAAGGACGGAAAATGCTGCCGCCCAACACCCCTGGGAGCATTTTCAATAAATTCTTCCTGAATAAACCATATGGTCTGCGTCTCATGTGTCTTGACGTTCCTTCTTGCATTGCGAGAGATAGAGGTACATATACTCGCGCCACGCCCTGACTGAAGTTGTATGGGTTTTGGCAAACCCTTTGTCGTTACCTCTCCCTGAAGATACCACTCAGCTAGATGTTTCCCATGAAGGAGGTCAAACATGATATACTCCATCATTATGCTATTCGAAAATAGACGTTAGAAATAATGGTCCTTGTCATAAGCCCTGCGAGCTAGCCCCTGACAGTAAATCCGCTTGAACTCCAAATTTATTAGTGCAAAGCGATGATGAAGGCCACCCTGCCTGGCAAGGGGCTTAGGCGAGGACAGGGAGGAGGACAAAAAGAAGACGGGAAAGAGGAAAAAGATATGCTGGGAAGGGCGGAAGATTGGAAGCTTTCTGCTTCTAGAACATTTTATCCTGATATTATTCAGGCTTATGAACCAGCTGGTTTCGAAACGTGAGGGTTTGAAAGACACTCTATCTCAGGATAGTGCTGTCCCAACAAACTATACTCATAGAATAGAATAGAATTTCTGTCGAGAAATATTGTCCATCAGTGAGATGCGGGGCCATATGGAATGTTAAGATGCTGAGTCTCACAGGGTTTGTCAGCCTTCCATTTGTGCCTGTGATTTAATGAGGTGAGAATATAGTTATTCAACTAATTCATGATCCATCCATCCATCCATCCATCCATCTCCATCCATCCATCCATCCATCCATCCCTCCATCCATACATCTAAATTTCTGGAAACATTAAAATTGAACCAAGTCTTAAAGTAGCACAGAGGCCAGCTCATGGACATCCCAGTGTTACAATCTCCATGTCTCATGAGCAGTGAACTAATGTAATTCCACACCGAGTGAGACCATTTCAAAATATCATCTAATTTAACTACCCTTCCACTTCAACACACAATTATGCCACCAATTCGCAATAAAAATTCTTCAAATTCTATTGAGAGAGAGGGGAGGCTTGAACTTGTGATAAAATCTATTCAAAATGATGAAAAACTCTCAATTCATGAAGCTGCACATCTATTTGATGTCTTATCTTCTACTCTTGGTCATTGACTGAGTGGCAGACCTGCACGGGTGAATTTACACTCAAATTCACACAAATTGACTCAGACTGAAGAGGATAGGCTAGTTGAATGAGTGCTGGACCTTGTTAAATGAGGATTTCCCCCCCAGCCGGCATTTGTTGAGGATATGACTAATTATTTTCTTATCTTATAGAATCCTATCATCTCTACCACCTCTCCCCCCCAGGTTAGCAAGAACTGGATTTCAAGACTGATTAAACACTATACAGAGCTTCAAAGCTGTTATCCTAGACATTATAATCATGAACAAGTTAAATGTGAAGATATCAGGGTTATACAGAATTAGTTTAAGACCTTGAAGAGTATAATTGCTGAGCATGGGATTCTATCAGAGAATATATACAACTTTGATGGGATTGACTTTGTCATGGGGCTCTGTGTCACTACTAAGATCATCACTAGTGCTGAGTGCTATGGCTGGGCAAAGCTCCTATAGTCTGGGAATTGTGAATAGGTTATTATGATTGAGATAGTCAATGTATTAGAATGGACTTTATTTCTATACATCATTTTCAAAGAGCAGATTCTACAGGAAGGCTAGTTTGACAGACTTCCAGACAGCTGAAGACTTGATGTTAGCTTTAATGATTGAACTATGGATGAGATAGAAGTCAAATGACTTACTAGACTATTTATTTCTGCTACAAATCCACACAGAGTTGACACTTATAGTTTTCTTATTCTGGACAGATACAGCAGTCATCTTATCTCAGAATTCAATTAAATCTGCAAGAATAATACTATTATATGTCTTTGCATGCTATCTCATTCATCACATCTCTTACAGCTACTAGATGTAAGTGTTTTTGCAGTCTTAAAGTGAGCATATGAGGGTTTAGTTCAACAGTGAATGCAGTTAGAATTTAATGCTATTCAGAAGACAGAGTTTTTAAAAACTTATTTTGCAGCATATGCTGAAGTCTTCAAACTGCAGACTATTTAAAATGGCTTCAAAGCTACTGGAATAGTGCTATTTTAATCTGATTACATTCTTCAGTAGCTGGATATTCAACTTTGAATTTCTACTCTCTTACACAGCAGCTCTAGTAATTCAACCATGTTCTAAATACTTCAAACACCTAGTAATCCCTGGCAATTACACTAGCAGACAAATAAGATTAAATACTTAGTAGAAGGTCAGTCTCAAGACTTTGTGAAAGATTTTGATCAAATTATCAAGATCTGTGAACATGAAATAGTCAGTGCCACTATTCTAAAGAAGTAATACCAGAATATATTCAATGTGAATGAGATAAAGAAGTAAAAGCAGACTAAATCTAGACATCAGATTCAACATGCAGGGGGTCTCACTAGGTAGAAAGCTCAGAATCGTATTATTTCATCTGCTGTGTCTGTTGAACAGTCTGTTATTCAATCTTCTTAGCCTGCAGTCTCTAAGTCTAGATCATGCTTAAAAGTACTACAACAGTGCAGTAACTACAATTTATCTAATTATAAGAGAACAAGATGCTCTCAATCTAGTGTAATTTAATTTAATTTAATTAGAGAAAGATGAATGCAAATATTTCAGATTAAAATCTAGTTAGTTGAAATATAGTAATTTTGATATCTCACTCACTGAGATGTCTCACTCAGTGTGGAATTACATTAGTTAGTTAACTTAGTTTGATTTAACTAGTTAGTTAGTTACTTGATATTTTACATTAGTCAAACACTCACAGAAAGTTGATATATAGAGTATTCAGTTAAAGATGACTTTAAAAGAGTTGATTCATGCCATAAATCATAATACCTCTTCATTAAAACTACACACACTAGATATATCCCAACACATATCTTAACTCATTTCTATATGCTTTTGATGATAGTGATTTTTATCATATTTCTCAGACTTTTATTATTATTCTTAGTTAAATCTAATTCTTTTAATATATCTTTAACTCTGATGTTCAGAAAAAGTAAGCATTATTTATAAATCACATTTAACTTTTTTAAAATCATATTCAACTGTAACTGCTATATAACAGATCAGCATGAGAGAGAGAATATGCTAATTGCTCAGAAGATTTTATGATAACTTATAAAGTCCTGCAATGCAAATTTCAATCTAAAGTTTATTAATAACATTCATTGTATTTGATGGCAGATATATTTTTTTTTATTTTTAATCATAATTTAGCAGCTCCTATTCTGCTTCCATCTTATATCTATTTGAAGGAAAATCGCCCCTGCATTGTTAAAATGACGTCTTATATAAGATAGTGCCCTCACACAATTCAAAAATACAAACGGTAGAGCCGCAATCACCCTGGGAAAATGAAACCACACAAAGATCTAGACCATGGCAAGCTATATGTTGCTTAGATAGTCCTGTTAATCTATTGCAGCCACAGGAAACAGTCAGAAAGCGTCCCAATGCTTAGGCAAACTTCAATGTCACATCAATAACCGAAGCCCCAGCAACCCATCTGACCGACCAATCAATGTTGGCAAAGATTCAGGCACAAAATAAATGCTTGTCTTCTCTCGCTCTCACAGCTCGCTGAAACTGAGATATGTATACTGTAAACGCAAAGTCGTATGACTATTTAGTGGCGGCTGAGAGCTCCTGGCCTGAAATCTAAGAGGGCAGGTTAAACATTTGTGGCAGACCAGTGTGACTTTACTCTCAATCGATAACTGTGATGATGTTCAGATCATCATCCACAAAGATATTAGGAGGTTGATCCCATGCATGAGAATGAACGGCCCGTGGTTGTCCTTTTAGTCTTCTCATTCCATCACAATGCCCCGGAACGCAGAAATGTTATTTAGATAGTTCCGTGCATCCTTCTCATTGAAATCACTCTCCTTCCCGCGGTAAAAATCGTTGAAATCAATTTCAGGACGGCATAGTTGTAACCAACAGTGGAGCCGTAGGTCTGGTGAACAGATGTAATCTCAGAGCTCTTCATCCCACTGAGTTCCTGGTCATTCAGCTTAATGGTGGTCGGCGGTTATGTTTAAACACCCAGTTTTCATTATTGCTGTCGAGCGTGAGAGCGCCGACATGACCGAACTGCTGGCGGTAGAGTTGAATATAGATATCGAACAGATATGACCACTACTCGTCTGGAAGGCGTGGCACATCAGTTCCATGGAGAGTTTTGCCTGTAATGTACTCCAGGACCACAGAGGGAAGGCCAAAGAAGATTATCTCAGCTGATAGAGTATCCGAGTTGACGTGGGGTTGTGATGATGGACTTTTCAGCAATGTACCTAGAGCATGGTAATGTGGCATTGTTATGGAGTTTAACTACAAAGCAGAACTCTCTGGAGCTTCATACTTCATCGTTGCAATCTCGCCGCGCGTCTTCTCCTAAGGATATGCGAGACGCTGTAGCAGGGGGATTCAAACCATCCATTGTTCAACTCTCTCAGTTGACTCGACATCGGGACTCTCGCCAGCTGCGTTCATAAAGAGGGAAACAGATATTGTAGCTGCCCTATTTTGGCTCTGAGAAGACCTGGCACGAACGGCTTCTTCCCAGGGTGTAAGGAGGAGGCCAATTTACAGACCAAAGCCGACTCAATCAAGTCAATGAACTCCCTGGCTTCTTTGTCTAGCAGATGACGGGCGAGATGATCCATTCCAGCAAAACAAATCCAAAGCTTCCCGTAACCAACTGCTGTCTCTCAAGATCTGTTTGCTCTCAAAAGCAGTCGGTGCTGGATAGATGACAAAGACACTGCATTTCTCATTATGAGAAATTAGTGCAATTACACGGTGAAGGTCGTCTCGATGGCTACCTGTAGGCCGTTAGTCGCTCAACGCAGGGGTGCTATAGCCCAAGTTTCTGTGGTAGTTGGAAGCAAGGGGGAGCTTGCGACGATAGGGCTGAACTGATTATCAAGGTCAAACACAGCATAAAATTTGATACTTTTTGCCTTGCGCTGCATCATGAAGCAATGATACCCCTCATTCTGACTTTTCCAATTACTGATGATCCTTTTCTAGAGGAGTTTATACAGTGACTTTAATCAGTGGCTGTTCACGAAGATGGGAAGTCAGGGTTGAAATAGTGGGTACGGATTTATTTCTCGGCCAGGCAACGGGAAAACAATTAAACAATTAACTAGACACATTATTCTGCTTTGGTTTGAGGTGGGCCCCGTCTCAAAGCTAAAACCAGCCTGTGGGTTCAAAACGGCTCCACTCTGATAGCTTGAGACCAGTATTGGAGTGAAATATCATCAGGATGGGAGAAAGCTAGGATAAGACCGGATAAAAGTAAACCCATAATCTTAGCCATCATAAACAAAAACAGTGAACAATACAGGAATCAGCATGAGACTTTCAATTCATCATCTTTGAAACTACTGCACTGTGGGCAGATTATCTTTCTTCTACACACCAATTGTGCTGTTTTGTAGTTATCAGTAAGGCAGAATCATCCAGATGAAGTTGTTATCATCAAGAAACACCTGTTAACCAACTTAGTAGTGATGTACGTGACTTGCTTCAAAGAGGATGAGAAAAATCCATGAATCATATTGCATTTCTTATGGTGATTTTGATAGCCTTGATCAAGTTTATTAAAATGCAATATCAAAACTCCTCTCTGTTTTACAGGGGATGGATACAGCATTCAGTTTTCACTCATGAATGAGTGATGGGGATGTGGCATCTGATCTGGCGCGTTTGTTTGAGCCCCTCTGACAGGCAATATTGGTGCTGGTTCAACCTAGTCATCAACAGGCCTTCTGCAGTCGAAATCCAGAACATTGAGATCTGGAAAGTTGTCCTTAATCTTAACACCACCGTCTCACGAGCAACCCTGCCACTCCGCCCTATATTGTCAATTCAACAGACTCCTTGGCTGCGCAAAACAAGCAGCTTTGCCAACTCAACAGAGTACCGGAAACATATCAACAGAGTACTGAAAAAGGGGCTGGGAAGGCTACATATCAACATTTCCAGTTTCTTTGACACGTATTTTGAAGACATCACAACTCAACTTGGGGTGTGAGTGGTGTTTGAAAAGTGCAAGAAAACTGACAATTCTCTTCACAATGGTAAAAGCAGCTAGCGAGACTGATCAGAACACACAGTGAAAAAAATGTTTTGAGATGATTGACTGAGATTTCCAAAAGCTTATATAGCTGGCAAAGATATAGAATGTCATGGCCATGGCTCAACTAGAGGCATGATGATAAAAAGACAAAAACTTCAATTCATCTATCTAACTATGCAGCTGCGACAAGAATACTAAACTAGGGATTAGAATGTGGAATGAACGAGCAGCCAAACGTATATAGATGGTTGGGGATTGGACCACCGAATATGATTGAGGTCGGAACGGATCAACCTTATTCCATATTACCAGCGACTGCGCCGTAACATAGAACTTAACATAAAACATTAATTAGAGATCTTTTATACAATTAAATCAGATATTGAAAAGATTTATTAAATATTTATAATTTAAATATATTTTAATTATATATTTTTAAAAATATTAATCTAGTTATTTTATTTATATTTAATATTACAAAAGTTTAAAAACTAATATAAAAAATTTTATTTTTAATATATTAATATTAATTTTTTTATATTTATTCTTTAACAAATTTTATTATATATAATTTAGCAATTAAATATAAAAAGTTATTAAATTCATAAAAAAATATATTTAATTAATTAATTAATTACTATTACTACTACTATTATTATTATTTATTTTAAATATATATAGTTAAAAACTATAATATTTATTTAATTAAATTAAAATTTAATTATTATTTTAATTATTATTTTTATTTACAATATAAATTAATATATATTATTATAAATTTTTATTTTAAATTAAAATAGTATTAATAAAATAATATTAATAAAACAATATTTATATATTAATTTATAATAATAATATACTTTATTTTTTATATTAAATATTATATATATATAATTTTAAATATTTATTCATTTGATATAATTTTTCTAGTTTTATTTATTATTAATTAGAATAATTAACTACTAGTTTTTAAAATAAAGTTTTTTTAAAAAATCTTTACTTTAAATTTAATTTAAAATAAATAATTTATTTAAATTATATATTTATAAATAAAGAAAATAAAATGTTCTCTACTTTTTAATTAAAATATAATTTTCATAAATTCAAATTATAGTTTTCAAAGTTTTATATTTTATAAAAAATTTTTGATTACTTTAAACTTTGATTTAAATTTTAAAATAAACTATATATAAATTTCTTAGCAATTAATATATAAATTAAGTTTATATTATTGATTTTATTCTAGATTAGGCTAGTTTATACTATATAAATACTTTAAAGTATTAACTTTTAGTTTAATTTTTTAATAAATTTAAAAACTAAACTAACTATATATTTTAAAAAATCTTATTAAATAAATTAGAAATTTTTAATAATTTTTTCATTAATTACAGTATAAAAAAGAAAAATAATCTTTTAATAAGATATATTAATTTAAATAAAATAATAATACTATAAAAAAATTAATAATATAGTTAATTATTTTTATATATTAAATTCTCTATATATAATAAGTATATATTTTAAAATTATTAAATTCTTAATTATTAAAAAATTTTTAACTATTAAATAAGATTTACAAAATGTAATATATATGTAAATTTTTTAAAAAAAAACTTTAATAATTAAAGTTAAATCAAGAAAAATATTATAGATTTTTAAATCTTGTTTTTTAAAAAGCCTCTTAAGATCTCTACTTAATCTAGATCTTATTTTACTTTTAAATAATATATATTAATATTAGAAAGTTTAATTTTAAATAAATAATAATAAATTTATATATTAAAATTAATATATATAACTTTATAATTTAAATTTATAGTATTTTTTGATAAAATATATATAAATGAAAGAAGTAAAAAAAAAGATAAAAGAAAGAAATTTTAAATAAAGAAATTTATATACAATGAATATTATATATAATTTTATTAAAATAACTTTTTATCACTTTTTGCCTAAATGAGAACTTGTTGTGAATAGTGATACGTTGTGTGAGACTTGATGTATATAATTGTAAATACTAAAAATTATTAAAGTTTTCTCTTCAATTTAAAGAATAAATAACAATGAAATAATATTTAAGTAAACATTAAATAAAGTCAATTTTAAACAATTAGATAGAACTTACAGACAATATTTATATGATTTATAGTAGTGATTAAAAAGTTATAAATAAATTTTTTTTTGGTAACTTTTAAAGCTTTCAATTATATTTTCTTGAATAATTCAATTACTACTTATTTAAATTTATTGAAAATTGAATGATATGCTTAGCTATCTGCTAGCTTTTTAATTATATATATTTATTCTTTAGTTAAAAAGTTTATTCAATATTTAATTACTTAAAAAAATATATAATATATAGAAAAAAATAAATATAAAAAGAAATATTTATATAAACTAATAAATATTTATAAAAATAAGTTTTATTATAATATAATAAGTATAATATTAGAGTATATATATACTTTTAATATATAGAAAATAATCTATAATATAATTTAATAAAATAATTATATAAATATTTATTTAATTTAGTTTACATTATGATTATATAATAATAAATTAATTGTTAAAATATATTTATTTGATATTTTTTACTAAAAAAATTTACTTTCAAAGCTTTTATTTTCAAACTTATATTATTGCTTAATTAGGTTAATATATAAAATCTCATATATAATTTAATATTATATCAAATACATAGAAATTAGCTTTAGCTAAATGTGTATATGATTAAGTATGTACATTTCAGCTAGCGCCTCGGCAATTGAGTAGATCTGTATAAGTTGCTTAGATACTTTTGAAAATTGACTTTTTTAAATGCTTTAATGACTAATTACATTTTCTCTTTTAAATAACTAGTTAAAGGGTATAGTTAACTAGTTAATTATCTTTTATTATTAATATCTTAAAATTAAAATGATAAATTGTTGAATGATGAGTAGATGTACAAATAAATATTGACTTTTATTATTACAATCAATCAAGCTTTCAGATCAGCACATTAAAGATTGCCAAATAATCATATAAAATGACATATTTAAAGAAGAAAAACAATGGATTATGGGCTGCAAAAGCAAAATAAAAAAGAAAGCAGGAAAAAGGCTGTACATATGTAGCCCAGAAAGAAGTTTTGAAAAGCTAAGGAAGGGGATATATCATGTAACTATGAAGTGTGATTCAATGAGAAAAGGGTGGTTGTGGAGAATGCTAAACCTCAACAACAAAAGTGTACAGCACCACAATGCAGCGGATGTTGGGATCATTGGACAGACTGTCTGTCCATACATGCTCTCAGCGTACAGGAAACTACTCTATTAATGTAATATGATAATTTTCCCTAATAGTTGAGCTTTAGAAGGCAAGGCATATCTAATCTCAGCTCCAGTCGAGAAAAGTGGCCGACTGGCTTATGTGGCCAACTCACTTCGGGATTAAGTTACGTTCTGCTGCTGTAAGCGCCTTGTAAGAAAATACCACCTTAACTGTTATTGTCTAAGGGAGGAAAGGCCCCCCAGAGGCGAGAACTAAACAAACAAAACATTAGCCCCCTACGTCTCCCTTCTTCTACTCTTCCATATTTTTCGCCTTTTGAGTTTTTTTTTTCTTTTTTTTTTATTTATTTATTTATTTTTTTTTTTCAAAACAACAACCATCCCTCCAGCTTGTTTGAATCATTCGGCAAGCTGCTATTTGATAGCAGCTGCTAGTGTCTCTGGTGCGCGTGGTTAGTTGGCGGGACAGCCAGCCAGCCAGCCCTCTTAACTAACTGTTGGCAGGCTGTTCAATTTTCTTGGGGCTGAACCAACCTGCAGCAACAACCAAACCCAAACGACCCTCACCCTAAGGGAGATACTAACCCAACACTCGCTGTTCTCCCGACTCTCTTCTCTTCTATCTACTCGCCCTGTTGTTTCCTTCTTGTTTGTTGTTTTATTTCCTTCTCTTCCCTCGTCGGCACGGTTGCTTCGTTGGCGTCATATTTCACCTGCTCAAATGACTCCAGACCCATCCGTTCATTCAGTAAGGTTATGATCTCGCGGTGCGGGGGCTCGATCGACTGAGAACACTACCTTTTTCGAAAGCGAAAAGGAACACTAAAATTAGAAATAAATAGACGACAAGAACAATTAAGCTGGAGAAACATCGGGAACTACATTGATACTGTTACGAATCATGGCTCCATTACCTCCTGCAGAACTGCACTCGAGTCCTCTGGCCGACTTTTTCTGGATCGCCGGTGTCGATGGAGCGGAGATATTCGACATCTTCTCGAAACTGGGGGAGGAATACCACGCCAATCATGCCCAGCCATTGCCGGTAACGGACACAATCCAGGAAGATGCAGATGCGGAGGAGGAAAGCCTCCCGTCTGGGGAATTCTCACAACCAACCTCGAAGCGGAATTCGTGCCATTGGCTCCCAAAACCCTCGGATGAGGCGAGATTGTCCTTACGCTCCGTGTCTTCGGAAACACCGAGTAATTGGAGTAGCATGACTATCAAGGGCTCGCAATCTCCGAATGGCGCGTCCTTACTCAGTGATGGTGACTTTGATAGAGCATTGTTGAAGTTTGCCGCTGAGAGAGACTCCTTTTTGTCAGATCTGTCACTCGGTGCAGGCGCTTCTATATCCAACAATCGGCCAAAACCTAGACCAAAGACGCAAAGGATTGTGGCAGAGGAGATCAATACTTTGAAATCAGGCATTGGTAGTGTTCGCAGACACATGTCCTTCAGAGACATGAACAGCATGAAAAGGCAGCCCTCCATTGCGCGTCAAGGTAAGTGTTGCAATGATCTGTGAACGCTCTGTTTAATCTAAATTTATTTGGATTTGTGCTTCTAACTATATTATATTATCGCAGCTTCTATTCGCACCTCTAGACGACTAAGCAACTATAATTCAGTTATCCCAGTGCCTCAGCCGCTTGACGTATCTCCTAATATGCACCCGCTAAAGCGGAAGTTCGAACCTGTCCTCCTCGATAGATACCCGCCGAAAGGGGTCCCTGATGACACCAAACAGAGAGGCAGTTTCCCTGATTACGTCCCTATGTTCGCATTTCCTAACGATATCAATATCGTATCTTCGGACCAGAGACCCCGCTCGAGCTGGCATGGTTTCGCAATGACATCAGGAGATGGATCTAAACTGTATGGGGTCTGCGTTACGATTTGGATTCCTCTCAGCCACAAAGCTGCAGAGGAATTGGAGAAACGGTGTGAGGAGTGGAGACGGGACAACATGACAGATGAGGAGCGGGAGCTAGCCGCTAGCCTTGGTGAGCGTCTTGCGATGGAAAGAGCAAGGCTGTCCAGGTTACTTGCTCAACTCCCTTCGGTCCCGTCAGGCTCAGCTTCCAGAGACCAGCTTGAAGATGAGATAAGTTCGGTGGAGGAGAAGATTGGGTTGATGGCCGACCTCCTTCGCCCAGTTCGACTGGGTGCTGCAACCAAAATCGACGGTCTAACCGACGGGGATACCGGGTTTTGGATACCCAGAGCATACGGGATATTAGGAAAGGATGGATCCATGACAAGTTTCTGGAAAGAATGGCTACGAGCCGTTGTCGTCCCCATGACAGATGGTGCGATCCAAAGGGTCCCTGCCAGTTCTCCCCGGGTTGGTAGGTGGCAACCGTTGGAGCGTTATATTGTCAACCTGTGCACAGAAGCCTTCAGCCCTCTATCTTCGAAAACTCAGGTTGAGCTTTCAGTGCGGGAACTACGACTTTTCGCAAGGAAAGAAGCGGCTAATGAATTGCCCGGCTCTCGAAATGTATGTGAAACTGCCTCCCCTACAGCTTGTTCCGAAAGCTTTAATTAACTGAGAAGAATAGACCGACCTATATGCGCTCTTCCGGTGTCTTTCAATCTCGAACATAATTATTTTGTTTGAAGTAAGTCCGTATTTGCAGCTTTAATAAACCAATCCTAAACAACTAGCTAACGTAACAACCACTATCAGTACGTTCTTGCTGAATCTCGAATCATTCTTCTGTCATCCCATGCTGCTATGTTGCACCTAGCTAGTAAAGCTCTCGTTGATCTCCTATTCCCATTCCAGTGGACAGGTGTTTTTATCCCCATTCTCCCTGCTCGGCTTATCCAAGTCCTTGAGGCACCTTGCCCCTATATTGTGGGAATTGAACGCAGATACGAAAAGGCCGAACTTCCTTCTGATGACTTTGTGCTCGTGGACCTCGACCAGAACGAGATCGAGAGCACCGCACGACCCACTCCACTACCCCGCCATCATCGTCGAAAACTCCAGTCGCTTCTCCAACTAGCAGCGCCTCTGCATCATCGATACGGAGTCCATCCTGGGCCACCATGTTACGCAATTGAAACATATCCGTTCGACTCGTTTCCTGGAGAAAACCAATCGATATTTTCACCCAGAGCGATGTCCACTCAACTCGATAAATACGTCAGCCTTAATTCCACGGCGTTCGGACAAGACGCCACCGTCATTCCACCTCCACCAAATTTTAATGTGTTTTTGAACGCCCGCAATGATGTGGCCCTCTCCAGGGGTCAAGGCCGATCAATGACAAGCTCAACCTCCAAAGTTTGCACTCCACCCTCCCCTAAGAATTCAGGTGGTTCTCCGACCTCGACTAAATTTTCCCCATTACCCCCAACCCCTGTATCTCGCAACGACTCGGGATTTGCTCTTCAATCCTCCTTGCGGGAGAAAAGGTCTGGCCATTTCGATGCCTCCTCCCGAAGAAGCTATTCTTTTGGAGACAGAAGGCCAGGGTTACCCAGAAGACCTAGCGCTCCATTCCTCGGGCACACCTCCAATTTATCTGTCTCAACACTAAATACTGACACGGGAACTTCTGTTTATGCAGCATCCATATATGCCCAGTCCACGTTAGCTGCGTCGACTATAATGCCACAATCGTCTCAACAAGCGCTGCGAAATCCAGTTGGCAGTACTCTGGTCGAAGGGCACTGTCTACAGCTACAACCATGGGATGACAAAACTTCCTGTTCGATATGCGATGAGAAAGCAGAAGAAGGCATGTACAAATGTTCAGCTTGTGGGACAATTGTTCATACCCGTTGCGCATCCCAGATTTCATTGGTGTGTCCTGTCGCATTCTACCCTGAACAAGTTAGGGCAGCTTTTGTTCGGTGCTTCGCGAGCCTGTTGTATACATATAAGAAGTTTCTCCAACCAGCATCTGGTGATAAGAAGAAGGCCGGCTTGACTTACGATTTCAACATGGATGCATTTCTCAAAAGCTTGCCTCACGAGCACGCAGAATACATGACAATACTACAGCAGACGCAAGGTATGTTCTATGCAATTTGGTTATCCACCAATATATTATATCCCTTGAAGCGAGTATAAACTGCTGAAATTTGCAATACTAATCTCTTGTAGCTTTTAACGAGTTTATCAGTGAACGGGAGAGGGCAACCCCTTCATACAAAGATCCCCGAATCACCCTGTTCGACGAGATTATCCTATCAAAGCGCAATCGGGGGCGGACATCAGTATTCTCGGGGCGCATGACGACAAATTTCTTATCGGACACGTCAGATCATCTCTGGTGGTCAGCAAGTGCAACTGCTCCACCCAGCAGCCGACATCAACCCACCTATCCAAGCGATTGGAAGAACATCGTTACAAGAAGTTAGCACAAACCCCTAACTCTCAATTTTTTTTCCTTGTCTGAAAAAGCATATTTTAATTGTTCTCAATAGCTCCTGCAAAACTAGATCCGAACTATATGAAAGAACCGCGCATGATCCAAGGAGAGCCTCGAATAAATAAAACCGCAAACAATGCGAGAAGAAAACCAGTCGCTACGGTTCCAAACACATAGCTATTCAGCTAATTGCTCACATATGGAATTCGCCTGATCAGTCCTTGTGTTTCTTATTGTCTTGAAGTTCTCCCTTTGATACCACCCCTCTTTTTTGGCCCTACTTTCATTTTCAGATTTGACGATATCCAAATACCCTCTTTTCCTAGTTTGCGCTTGCATTTACCCTTGGCCTTTTAGTGCTTCAGCGCATATATGACAACAATTTGCTTCCAATCTCCATGTCCGTCTGTTTTCATTTGTTGAACATTTGTTGGAGGATTACTGATTCTTCAAACCAGCAATGTCTGTATATGTGTGCTCTCATTTATTTACTTCGGTTTTTGATTTGGGGTGGTGGATCGGAAATGTTGTTTTGCTTTTAGCCCTTTTATGCACTTGGTCTTTTTGTTCTGTTATTTTGAATCCCTCTCTTGATTTCTTATGGACTGCTGTCCTGGCCTGATTTTGAATGATATCAGCGTATCCAGATTGGCTTTCCTATTTCTCTCACTATTTTGTCTCTTATACTTTTTGCTCTATTTATTGAATTTACATCTTTTAATGGATACATCTCTTTTCTTCTCCCCACTTTGCTATCTTCCCTCAACCTTCTTCACCTCACTCAATACACGTGTGACCGGGCACTTTTGTATATACACTTTTCCTCACTTTATCCATCACTATTCTAGTGCTATATTATCTTACATGTTCCTCTCATTTTCAACATGATGTTTGTAGAAATATATATACCTCCATATGATATATGATGTAATACACATGATGTGTATGTAACTAACTGGTTTATGAATCTTATGATTTTGTGATGAGAAATAATATGAGAGAAGATTGTTTCTGAAAGAATTTGCATGACTGATATGCAAGACTGATATGCATGACAACTGTTGTATCACTAAGATACTTCATATTTCAATAAAATAATGAAAAACTCACACTGATATGAAGTATCAGTGATCATTATGTACTAATTTTTTTCTTGCATTTTTACTTTCTTTTTCATTTACTATTTATTTGTATATTATTTGAAAATCATGTGCAACATCACATCCTTGCTCAAACAGCATCTATTTATGAAATCTGTTCAGGGAGAAAAATAAAATTACAACCAAAAAAAAAAAATAAATAAATAAATAAATAGGGAGTAAAGGAAAAAACTTAGCTATGATATGAAAACAACCCCCAGCTGTATTGTCCAGATGGCGTGATAGCATCATTTCCCCCCTCCTTCCCCCTCCTGTTTTTTTCACTGTCCGGGAGCTAATATAAAGATCGAGCACAGCATTGAACCATGTTTGTCAACGTCTGTCAATCAGCGATAACTGTCGTCGGAAATGACTTGGAGAAAGAGATTCTCCGTAGGGCAAACCCCCGAATTAACCGACCTTCCCTTGAAAGACTGCCATAGACTATCATCATTTCCGGCAATTAAACAAGAATGGAAATTGTGAAGCACCTGCGTGTGGTATGTAGCTCCTCTCAAACCAGTCATCCTCCCGAGCTCTCGGAATAGGGGTATCTTTGCGGCAGAAGAGGGGCTGACTATCTTTAAATCTTCCCTGGTGATAGAAAATCACTGCATGCGAGAATCGCTAGGTTTGGTAGACAGACCACTTGGTCCAAACGCCCAACTTGCAAATTTGATTGACCTGGGGGGGGGGGGGGGGGGGGCGTTGAGGGAATTTTCACCAATGGCCAGGTAAGGCGATAGTTAGTCTCCTTGAACATCGGCTTCGTCGGAATCAGGTAAAGACTGATCAGCCTCGCCAGCTTCCGCGCCACCATCGTGTCGCCATTCCCATCCCGAACATCGGTACCAGCAACCCCAAAATCAAACTCGCAACTGAGACCAACGTTTAATATAGAAGATCTCCAAATACTTGTTAGCAATTTCTTTTCTATTAGAATATCGCACAGGCTACATGTCAAATCCGCGGGCTGAACACGGAGTCCAATTGTTTCAAGATCGCAATATGCACGGACATCGATATGGCCAGTTCCCAGCATCAATGAAAAATCGCGCTCCTCGCTGAAATAGTCACTGGTATTGACACGAACTATGTATCTTTCGTGCTGTACCAATTGCCTAAGCGTTGCTTTATAATGGACGATCGCTCCTAGAAATGGGATGAGCGCGTTTTCGAAAAGATATGCCCAGTTTTTCGAGACCAGCGAAAGACATTAAAAAAGCCTTTGAGAGTGGGGGATCCTCCGTCCTTTGACTGGTTTCAGGTTTGGCAGCCAACCAAACACTATCTATCTCAAAAGTTTTATTTTGATTTCCTTTTTAGAATCGACAGCTGCTTGGATGAATGGTACCGCAAATGTGCATTGTATGAGCTTCAATGAAAGCAACTGCGAGAAATTAAAAGCTTTAGCTAGTTCCTCATAGGCCGACCGAAATGATATATGGCACAGCGATAAACTTCGAAGAGATCCGAGACAGGTTAGGGAATTAGGTAACTAGTTAACTACTCCTTTAAGAACGTGTGATATAAACCTATAAACCTGTTCTACCTATTGGCAAGTTCGACTTCATCCTTGAACTGTTCCTTCATGTTCCTCCTTTTGCATAAAATAAAGCTCCAATACCTCCAGATGCCAGAGGTCACTTCGTTGAACTCTGCTAAGAACATCGCAATCACCTTTCATGTTTATGCCCTTCCACAAAATCCAAAATACGGGCGAACATACCTAAATCTTCTTAACTTGTTATCTTCAAGCCGTAAAAAAAATACTTTCCAGACATTAACCTCTGGTGGCCTTTGAACTCTTCTTCCGGGAGGCTGATAATTGGGAACTTGCATCTACTATGGAAGATTTTAAGGATGGGAGCACGGAACCGAAGGCCTCTCACGAGTTTAAGACGTTCCATGTTGCTAGAATGCCCAACCGAATAAAATTAGGTGTAATGGCACGAAGGCGCTCGTAAAGAGTACAATCTATTTTCAGCCAGCGAAAGGGAGACAACAGAGTTTGTATATCCCCGGGATTACCGCGCAGTGAAATAGCCTCGAAACTTGGGGACAAGTTTCGACCTGTCTCTTGAATCAGAGACCTAGCGGGAGAACCGATAGGTGTTGGTGATAATTTCTGGCTTGGAAGCAGTTGTGGACAAAACCTCATTGATGGTCATTTGGAATATTTCTGGTGGGACCCTGTCCAACATGGTGGTCATAATTATAACGTGATTAACAATGCAGAGTTAATCTTAGTAAAAGGGGAAAGAAAAACAAACAAATATCCACCAAGAAAGACGTTAAAAAATAATGACACATACAAAGAGAGGCTGGAAATACTTTTCATCATGTCATGAAGAGGAATTATATACAAATACAAGCAGATTCGGTAGTTATCCCTCTTCGTGAATCAAAAGCTATACCAATGTCACTTTCCACTTCAGCCATGCGATGTTCTCATCCTCAGTCTTGCGCAGACGATTTATGCGACATCATATTGAGCGCCATGACGATCCGCTCGCTCTATTCCCACCCAACTCCCGGGTGTATCAAGAAGTCATGCAGAGAAAAACGAATCAATAAGAATCATAGAATGCACAATCCCGTGGGGAATGTAATACAGACAAGGAAAATCAAAAAGGGCGACATGCTGTGGAGTACAGCCCGGTGGTTCCTCCGCCTCCCAAGACAGTTGCGAGATGTTTACAGCGCCGAAGGACAAAGCGTTTCTGATATGCGCGATGAACCATGGCAACAAAAACATTCTAAAACCAATTTAAACTATGATTAAAGTTAGGTTGAGTCCGTGCTCCCGCCTAACAATGCAGAGATGTTGATTGGCTGCAGTGGAGATAACAACTCAACCTTAGATGGAAACTTCTTTCAAGCAACCTTGGGTAGAATTCTTCGGATCTAGTATTCTCACCAGACGTTTGAGACATGTCCGCGCAACCACATGATATGTTGTCCTTATCGAGGTGGCTCGGTTTGCCCAGGATAATACCCCCCAACAACTCGAATCCCCGGCTTGGGGTAGTTATCAGATATCACAGCCGTGAGGAAAAGGGTATTCAGGAGAGAAAATAGGTTTATCCAACGAAATGGATAGTTGGTCTTCGCATAACGGTCATTCTTCTAACCTCTGACTTCGTTAATTAAATAAATAGTTTTAATTAATCAAGTAATTAATGAAAAACTAAAAATTAAAAGGTAGATAGAAAATAACAGAGCAATGGGAAAATGGCGGTAGGGGCAGCGATCCTATAACGGTAAAACCAATCCGAAGAGCAAGTTCGTTGATTTGTAAAGATATTTAGAGGAAAAGAAACACAGAAAGGGTCTTGTCATCAGAGAAATGCAACTGGAAAATATTAAATAAGAAAAGAATTGGGGGTATGAAGTGCCGAAAGGATTTGCAAACGGAGCAGAACTGGGATAAAATCAAGTAAAATAAATATGCTGTACCAACGGGGTAATAGCAAAAAAGACAGAAGAAGCATATAACTGAGCATGCAAACGAAATTGGAGCCAAGATGGGAGAAATTGGCGAAAATCGGAGGCCGTATACTTGGTAAAGAAAACCAGTGGTCAGGTAAACGAGGAGAACCAATGGGGAATGGCATGGGATAACAAAACACGTTCATCTGGGGTAAAATAAAAAAAAAAAAAAAAAATCCTGGCAAGAAAGGTCGATGGCTTAAAATAGGCGAGGAAGAAGCTCGATTTCCAACTCATGCTAATTCGCTTTTGCCTTGCCCTTATTACTAACATTTCTATTTAGTTCGTCTGCTCCGGTTGACAGGGCCTCATCCTCACTGTCGTCGGCCCCTGGGACTTCTGCCCACCCGGAACTCCGCCGGCTTACTCGCCCAGGAGCGCCGGAGACGGAATGGTTGCCCACCACGTTGCCGACAATACTGCCAGCTATACTATCATTCCTCCCGTGGTGCGAGTTGTTCGCACTCCTAACACTGCCAGTATCACCAAGCTGCAGTCTGCCCGGCTGATAGCTGCTCCGTTCCCCCGAAGCAGCTCCAGCATATGAGTATATACTGCCTCGTTCGGTGTTGGCTAGGTTTGGACGATTTAGAACGCCCGGCGCATTGGTGATTGAAGCATTGGATGGCTCTCCGGCAGCTCCCGGATATCCCATATTGCCACTGAGAACGCTCAAGGGCAAACTTTCGCGGCTTCCGCTGAAGATTGATGAAGGAGCCAAGGCACGAACTGAAGCATTGGTGTCCAGAGAGTTGCGGCGCCGGCGTTTGGAGGAAGATGCTAACGTCAGCACAGACGCGTTATCAGTCAGGAGGTTATTTGCCGTTGCTGAGATGTAAGTTGTTGGGTTAGGAGAAAGGTGGGCAGGAACCGCGGTGGCAGGAGATATGGGATATTGATGACTGAATTGAAGGCCAGTTTGCTGACTAGCACTGTGAGAAACGTGATGACCGAAAAGCCCTCCATGGATCTGGTTCGACGGAGCAGTGGATTGGACAGTTGTAAGTGTTGTCGTAAGTGAACGCACAGACGGTGCTGGTGAGGAAAATGTACTCCCTTCCCCACCTCCTTGCGAACCAAGAGCACCACCAGTGGTTATGGCAGTACCGGCTTTGGAATTCGCAGCGTCTGATAAGGTGGTGTCCGCATTTGTAGAGAGCGTGGGCGCAGCAGATTTTGTGCCCACTGCTGATGCATTCTGGTCCAAACCTGATTCCGACAACGACGGTACTGAGCGGGACAGTTGGCTGGGTCGCTCGCTAGCAGGGGGTTCAGAGAAAGAGAGGTGGCCATTTCCCAAATTGCTGATATTACCTGACAGGGAGTATGGGTTGTTTTTGATATTGGCGCCCTTCTTGCTCTTGGAAGCGCTCGGAGAACCATTCTGCTTGTTCGAAGAGCCAGGGTAGGAAACAGAAGTGTTCTTGAGATTGGCAAGGCGCTTCATCCAATTCGAGAAAGGAAGTCGACGACCGTGTCGATCTTGCAAAGGCTTTTAGTAAGCAGACATATTCAAAATAGTCATCTGGATTGCAGCTCACGGATCCAGAGAACAAATAGGGGGGGGGGGGGGGGGGGGGGGAGGAGTAAAACACATACCGTGGGGTCGAGCTGAGACTTCAGTCGAAGCCATCTTTGCGAAAACTGCACCTCAGCGCACCCAAGGCCCCCGTCTAAACAAACCCGTGACGCCAGACAAGTGAAGAAAGAGTGGCTAAATAATAATAAGGCACTTGGTCTGAGTTGACTGGCTGTGGCGGTAAGTCTTGCGTCGCGGTATCACGGAAGTCCTCTAGGAGTAATTCGGCAGGGGCTGGCAGGACCCGAATTGCGCCAAATAACAACAGATGCTCCGACGCAAGTCAAATTCAGCTATCAAATCCTTGTCCGTGAGCCGCCCCAAGGAATCAATCACCTATTGCCTAGTTATCGCGGAGTGACGTTGTATGCTGCGTAGACTACGGTTTGTTGTTGAAGTCATTCGACGATGCTGTAAGATGATAGCAGCCTTGTCGTCATGGAAGTGACCACATCTTGTCCACGTTGTACTAACGTAATTTATCGACGGGTGCTTAGCATATTTGTGAAACGTTCCAATCTAATTGGCCAAAGACGCCAAAACACCGTTCCAAGCTTCAGCCACAGCAACCCAAAAGGGGTAAAATACGGATACTTTGGCTTAAATTCTTGTTTCTACATCCAAAAAAAAAAAAAAAAAAAAAAAAAAGGAAGTCTGCTTTGGTCAGGTGAACAGATGAAAACAGTCACGTGATTCAATACTTTGGCCGAATGTCGCCTCTCGTCCACTGGAATCAATCCAAAAATGCTCCAGATAAGTTCCCCAAGGCAATGCATAACCTCGTACATGAGAAGAATGAAACGTCTCGTCAATGTCAATGCCCGGATCATAACTGGGGTTCGGCAATGTTAAACTCGTTGGAGTTGTGTTTGTAAGGCACTTTAAAAACAATGGGAGACAGATGCCCGGACGAACTTGCAGCTTCCAACACTGCTACTAGGGCAGGTTCTATCTAGCAACGAAAGGAGGAAGCTTGCAGTCTTATATATATATATATATCAGTCTTTGTCATATATATATATATACACCGCAGGTATATGTATATACCTTGAGTCATTGTTGAGAGAGCCCTGCAATCCGCGTCAAAAGGCCTGTAACGCTGTTTCTCCTACGGCGTATTTTTACTGTCTTGTTGTCATGGACGTACAGCAGGTCCCATCCATCCAACCCCTGCCCCCTGACGTGGTCGCGCAATTGAAGTCTTCAATATCAATATCACATCTCAACGGGGTAGTTTTGGAACTGCTCAAAAATTCATTAGATGCCGGTGCTGAAACCGTATCAATCAATGTGGACTTTCGAAGGGGCGGGTGTGTGGTGGAAGACGACGGGCACGGGATAATGCCGATTGAGTTTCTCGATGGAGGCAAGCTTGCGAAACTGCATCGTATGTCGTTCATTTGATGGAGGCTTTGGACATATTTTATTCATTCATTTATTTATCGGGCTGACTGGGATGTGTAGATACGTCGAAATTCAACAGTTTGGGTGAGGTTTATGGCCGGAAGGGCTTGTTTCTTGCTTCCCTTGTGTCGCTGGCTTTGGTGACTATCACTTCCCATCACGAGTCTGACCCAACAACCAATACCTTGATATATCACCGCTCAAAGCCGATTTCCAGACTGACGCCTGCTCCATTACACCACGAGCTGGACTCTCGCGACCACGGGACTAGAGTTACTGTGACTGACCTATTTGGGAATCTTCCTGTCCGTGTTAAGCATCGGGCGCTGTCCCTACGAACTACCCAGGATCTCGACAGGGAATGGAACGACTTGAAAAGTATTCTAACCGCTGTACTTCTCGCTTTCCAGAAGCAGGTGAAGGTTGTGATGTCGGATGCGACAAAGACAAGAAAACTAGTTATTCGAGCTGGTTCTCCGAATGATGAAAGATCCCCTGGCACTCTTAAAATGAGTCGGATTCGCCCTATCCTTATGCAGGCTGGGTATCTATCCCCAGGGGACTTTGATTATTGGGTCACCGCTTCCGCACATACTTCCGGAATTGAGGTTCAAGCTGCACTATCCCTTCAACCCGCTCCCACGAAGCAGGTCCAGTTTATTTCATTTGGAATACATCCTGTTTTTTCCCACTCGAATGCGAATGTGCTATATTGCGAGGTTAATAGCTTATTCTCTTTATCGAGCTTTGGTGTTATTGACGGCCCTCCAGCTATTACAGATGAACTAGGAGAACTTAATTTGAAAGATAATGATCAACCAGCTGAGAAAGACGGATCTATCCGGCGAAAGCGATGTTTAGGTAAAGGTGTTAACAGATGGCCAATGTTTTACATTAGAATCGACCTGCAAGGACATAGCAAAAGTGTCAGCGACGAAGATGAATCTCTCGAATCTAGAAAGACCCTTCAATCAGTTGTGGATGTTTTGGTTACCATGATACGACAATTTCTGGAGGATTACCATTTTCGGCCTCGATCAAGACCAAATTTCAAAAGAAACATCCGATCAAAATCTCCTGAGAATCAGGCAGAGAGACGACTTGCTAAACGTCCGAAGACCTCTGCACACCCGTTAGCTACACCCATTGCTTCTTCTGGGGTTTCTAGAGATATGGAGGGTTCGGAAGAGTTATTGAACCCTCAAATCAAGCTTCCGAACTTTACCCAATCTCCTAGTGCTCAGTCACATCTCAAGTTGAGAGACTTCGGAAGTTGGTCACGGATCAAAAGCGGTCGCCAAACTGGATTTGAGGATCTGTGGTCTGGCTTACCCCGCGGGAAAGTCGCATCCATCGCAAATAACCCTAAAGACGGTCAACTATGGCATGACAAAATATGTTCCCGCTCGTCTCCCGCAACCCCCGCACCAGATGTTCAATACCTTGGAACCCCGAGGAACCTCAGAACCGGTCAAGATTCTACGAAACCTGCTAGTCTAGTTGGCATTGGACATCAGGGCCTACTAGATGCAGGAGCGGAAAATCAAGATGAGCAGACAGAAGAGATTATCCAGTGGACGGATCCGATTACCAAAAATTCTGTGCTAATCAATGGCAGGACGGGCCAGACTCTTCCCCCGACAAACAAAATGTCTGCCGCTTTACGAGGAAAAAATGATCGGACAAAGCTAGGGTTCACTGATCGCCACTTGTATTCCAGAAACCCAGAGTCGCATCGGAATTTATGGATCGATACATTTCTCAAAGACTGGGAAAATCCAACATTCCAACAGTCGGATCAGCCGGTTGTGACAAAGTTTAATACTTCAGGGCTTTCTTTCGGTGGTGCAGTCAAATCATCCCTATCGGGAACCGGAGATAGCGGGTTTATACCGTCTTCTTCTAGATTCAGTGGTCGGTTAACAAAGCAAGGTTTGCAGAGTGCCCAACTAATAGCTCAAGTGGACAACAAATTTCTATTGTTGAAACTGCCAACGTTAGGCGAACCGAGAAATGGCAATCAGCAAAATTTGGTTCTTGTGGATCAGCATGCCGCTGATGAGAGATGTCGGGTTGAGCAACTCTTCGACGATCTATTCGCCCCGTCTGCGGAATCGGCTTCATCACCAACCTGCGGAGTCAATTTGTCGACCCTACCCAAGCCAATTGTTTTCAAAGTATCGCTGCAAGAGGGCGAATTGCTCCAATCTCATTCCAACTATTTTGCAACTTGGGGTTGTTGCTATACGCTGTCGCGTAGCGAAAAAAACTATCGTACAGTTACGGTAATCAAGCTTCCTACACTTATTGCAGAGCGTTGTAGATTAGAGCCAAAACTTGTCAAAGACCTTCTTCGCGGCGAAATCTGGGACCGAAAAGACTACGGGAGAAGATGTTGTACAGCCGGCTCTCAAATGCTCTCGAAAGTCCCATCAGAGGCTGGTGGTCTTAAAGAGCCACCACCAAAAGAGAATGTCCAGCCTGCTGCTGCCCGTCATTCTTGGCTGGAGCGCATTGGCGATTGCCCCAAGGCTATTATTGATCTCCTCAACTCACGTGCATGCAGAAGCTCTGTAATGTTCAACGACGCTTTAAGTCGGGATGAATGCGAAAACTTGGTTTCGAGACTTGCACGCTGCGCTTTTCCATTTCAGTGTGCTCACGGACGCCCTTCCATGATTCCAATCGTGAGTTTTGGTTCTATGTCCCCTACGGGCGATGGATGTGCGTTAGAAACCCAGTCAGGGTTTGATTATGTTGGCCTCAACGGAGACCATTGTGATAAATCTACAGCAACCGACAACAATTTGCTCTTCATGCAAGCTTTCAAAGCGTGGAAGCCTTACATTATATGAGAGATAGAATTTTTCTTTATCCATTATGTTTTTCTTATATTTTGGGGCCTTGGTGTTGCCTTGTATCCAGGTGCTTTTATTGGTATAATTTGTACCTTTGTTTTCATTGTTTTTGGGATATCTTTGGAATCCAAACTGGGTAATCTGCGATTAGGTTCTTATAGTTATATTCTAACTCCTGTTAAATTGTCAATACAGATATCAATAAACTGCTACAATACGCACAGAGACATTCGGGAAATGCCCACACCTATCTATTAGCTGGTGATATACACTAAGCTTTTGCTTAAATCCTGAGGGGGCATAACATCCACATATTCAAAATCAACCCTGTCTGTGCCAAAGAGTGATATCTATTTCCTTGGGCTATCTATGTCCAGCCCTGAGGTCTCCTCATACAATTTTCTCAAAACATTTGAACCCGCTGGGCTGCAGGAAGGCATGGATGTCAGCAATTCTTATGTCGGGTAGAAATGAAATTGCAGAGAGGATTGAAGTATGGTGAATGAAGGAGGAGATAGGAGGCACATACAAGAATATATTCGCACTTAAGATTTTGGCAACAGGGGACTTTATCGCAATCTTCCCCAACCTGTGTACAACCTGGTCCACGTGGGGGAACTCTCAAATTCCTGGGGAAAGGAGAGCTGTAGGAGTGAGTCTCTAGCCAGGGTTTTGAAAGCGCGAGCGCGTTCGGGGTATTGGCGACGAGGAGAACGAGCACAAAGTACCCAAACTGCACTTTCGTTGGAATTTTCATAGGGTTAGAAGGTTGTCCAGGATTGAATGGTAATCAGCGGTGTCATTTAAGCTTTTCACGTCCTTCGTCTACGTTCTGGAACAATTTCCAGTATAAAGCGCGGAGGAGGGAACGAAAATAAACAAGGAGACTGATCGAGAGAGACGAAGGAATATCCAAAGACTGTATTTTAGTTATCCCCTTACTCGTACGAAGGAGTGCGGAAGCGGGTTTTGATGAACGAAGGCCCTTTATACATGCGGATATACTAAGAGTGATACAGGGATCATTCAATAGACCATCGGGCATGTGCTTACGTGCAGGCTGGAGAGGTGGGCAAGACCCTGGTAATTGCCGTCAATTCTGGGCTTCGTAAATGGCGAGGGAGGCGAGGAGATGAATAGCACACCATTGAATCTTAGTCCGAGTTTCATCGTGATTCATATAACTTTCGCACACTCTCCAGTGGATGCCCAGGGTGGGCTTCACCGAGAGACATAGAGCGAATATGTCCAAGCAACTGCATATTTTGAAGCGCGGAATGTCAGTGTGACCTTAACAAGAATTTGAGATTCCCCTCGCCTCCCCTCGCCTCCCCTCCCCTCTCCTCTACTGGTTCACGAGGAAAAGGGAATTGTGAAGCTTGAACGGGATCATGCGAGGCATCCACAGGAAATCGAGCACGTTGCACCTCCATATCACGCGCTCCGGCTGAATGGTGTGGACGTTTACCGCTGTGGTAGAAGTCCAACTTCCCATTGTAGCGAAACAGGCGGATTGGGCTCCCATAATTCGAAAACCAATACCGTCTATCCAAGGATATGCACAGCGATTCATGAGAACCCTATGGCACACATATACTGTCTCTCTATTGTCGTTAGATTATCGAGATCAACCTCAGGGCTGATAGCCCCACGGGGAACACCAAACATACCCTTGCAAATGGAGACCCCCTGTGCTACACTCCGAACAATGACAAGAGGGATATCCTTTATATTCAAACCTGGAAATCTGCGGTTTCCAATACCATCAAAATATGCATATGTTGTGCGCTTCGACGGTACCAAGCCTATGGATAGGAGTAAACGCATATCTTTTTGAAGGCTTATTCCAACTCTTATTGGCGGGGGTGGGGATTCCGGTATTGTCATTATGGAACTCTTACAGAGTCGGGTCCCCTGGCTCAAAGGCAACCTCATGTCCCTTCTTATCGACCAAGTGGGTCCCTCAAGACGCATGCTTCTTCGAATTCTGCTTAGCAGGGCCACTTTAGGTTTGTTCTTTGCTTGCTGGTCCTTATTATTAAGCCTCAAATCCTTAAGTTAATTCGGCATCCCAGATGTGACGGGAACCACTCCCTATGACTATCATCTGTGGTCACTCTAGCCGCACAAAACCCAAAATCAACCACGCCTTGGTACGTCCTATGAGAATGCGAAGGGTACTTGGATGGTGCGGTCTTGCTATGCAATGGTGTCGCAACAGCAGAAAGGTAGGGTTCATTTCTACATTTCCTATTTCCAAACCCCTGAATGTGACTTACTACTTGCGGGGTCTAGTTTTCCTAGGCCTTTGAACCTTGCGGGAGTAAACTGAAACGGGAGAAGTTACTAGTGGACTGAGATATGATTTTTTTTTGTTTAAAAAGAAAAGAAAAGGCATCCCATGGACGGTCACTTGGTCACTGGTCACATTGCTTTGATGTGCTGGGTGGACAAATAAATGGCTCTCTTTCGCTCAGGTTTCTCAGATTCCATTGGGACTTTTCTGTTGGGCGCCACGGATTAACCGTTGCCCCTATATAACTAGCAAGTTGAGCCAAACTCTTATCCAATAAGACATTTACCATCCCACATTTTAACTCTCACCAGGTTCTCAAACAAGATATATTGAATTTTCAACTTCATTAAGATATATCAGCCTCTACGCTGGCTGCCTTGGTAGAGAGGAAATGCACATCATGCTAGAACTTGCAACAAACAGAGGCATGATCTGGTTATATCCAGAATCCTTTTGAGTCCCAGCTTTATTAGAACTTTCTGTGGACTTGAGAATCTACAGTGAATGAGCTAAAAAGCTCTGTTGATACGTGAATTGATGAATTCTGAAATATTATCTACGGCTGTGACAAAAGAGTATAAATTAATAATTTACAACTTATGATAATGACAGTTAGATCAATCATGATTTCAAGACAGGGAAAAGACAAAACAGCTGAAGATATCTAAATATATAAGAACAGCTTCTTGAGTTTTCAGTATTTTCTCAGCCTACTCCTCATCAACTGACCCTCAAACGCCTCAAATTCAGTGACATTTTTGTATGTACTATTCTGTTGTCTTCTGAATATCTTCACTATCAATGATATAGTTGCCTGTGGTCATCATGAAAGGGAAAAAGCAGACAGTTCTGATTACCGTGCACCCATGAAAATGTGAGTTACTTGACCTACCTTGCCTGCTAGCATGCATCAACCAAAGATTGTAACGGTTAAAGGCTCTCAGTCAGCATTGAATTTGATGCTTTTCAAATCAGTCTAACAGTGGAGACATTCTAGAAACCTAGTTTGAAGGGCTCACAGCTCTTGGAATCAAAACTAATCATTTGTCAAACCACACCCCATGTACTGGGACTGTGCAGTTTCAGGTTTGCAGAGAATCCATGGCTTCGTCTGTGATGCGTAAAAGCGGGGTTGTATGTAGGCTTTAGGTTGGACTACCATGAGGGACAAAAGTGTCTGTGTGTTTGCCAGCACCATTGCTGGAGCAAGCCCGCCATGTTTATGTTGAAATTGATGCGTCCTCTTCAACTTTAATGGACTAGATCATTCAGTGAGGCCCACAACTAAGAATTATTGGAAATATTTAAGGGATAATTAGCGACCAAAGTTTCTGGAGGTCATCATGGTAACTACGGCACAGAAGCCGTAGTAGGTATTTGGATTTGGATTTGGAATTCAGTCGATTCCTTGCTGATCGCGAGTTACGCCAAAAGTCATCGTATTTAATTATGACAAAATAGGGACGAATTTAGAGAACGTAAATCCTCTTGTTTGTTATATGTAGAGGCGTTTGGTGTCCAGGGTTGTTCGCAGTTAGCTGCTAACTCCAGGCATATTGCAGAAAATGTGGAGTTCCGCTGCGGGCTAAATTGCAACGGTCTCCATAAGCAACAGCCCCTGTTGACTGCCTACCTAGGGATCTACCGCGGCAGGCAGACATGTAATGATGCCAAATGCTCGAAGACGTTCTGGTATGCAGTTTAATCCCGGCACAAGTAGTTGAAATCTGGGGGAATAAGGCCCCTGTTCCCTCATCCCAGACAAAAGGCGAACCGAAAGCATCCCACTAATCTTAAAGAATAGATAAATATAAAAGTGGACACTACCAGGTGAACGCTTCCCGAGGGAAGCGGTTGATGAGATAACACATAGGAAATAAAGGGCAGACAGTTCAAAGCATTTATACTCCAGAGTGCCAATTCAATATGTTGCACATATCAAGTACTAACTGATTAATGAGTATAACTGAATCTATCCCAGAGATTCAAACCTGAAACAATGTATGCCAAATCACGCACGCTAGAAGGATATTATGTCAACTCTGATCCCAGAAAGGTCATCTTTTAACCTAGTTAGTGCCAGACTGGACAAAAAGTAAAACGAGGCGGGATATACAGAGGACACTGGCCGCACCAGGTGAGGAACCGGAGAAACATAAATTAGAAATCGAAATAGACACAAAGGCAGAATATTTAATTGCAGGAATTAAAAAAAAATTCAGCGTAAAATACCGCATCGTTGCAAATTTCAAGAATAAGCCTAGCAAGAGTACAAACAAATCTTGTTCTATCACATTTCTTCTTATCCGGGTTGGTGTCAGAAACATCTTAAATGGTAAAATGAATATATATATATAAAGCCAAGAGGCGCACTCGCATGCTGGGTTTCTCTCTTTAAGTTTTTTTGTATGTTTTCCCGAACTCAAGTTGTACACATTTTTTCTCCTAGATTTATATCCCTAAACCAAAACAAAGATGTTACAGCCACTGGTGCAAAGAACAAAAAGAAGATTACCTATTGCATCCAGGGGACATCCGAAACGAACAAAACTTATGACACAGGGTGTACACATTTAAAAAATCAAACAAAAATGTATGAGGACAGTAAAGTTTTTTTTTTAAGCAAAAGAGATAATCATTATCGTTAAATCGTAGCACGTAAAAGGCTGGTTGGAAAGCTTAGGATATCGAAAATGCTGATGCGGCTCAGCTGCCCCATTTAAATCGAGTCAAGATTTTTCCGGCCAAGATGTTATCCATGGGAAGACACTGCTTTGAATTTGGAACTGTGAGTCCACGAAAGGAAATCAAACTTCTCTCTGGAAGTTTCACGAGCTAACGACGGGCTGATCTCTGGGTGGTTGCCGCGCTGTAGGTGTCGTTCTCTGGGCTCTAAAACTAAGGAACGTCGATAGTAATTATGAAAGCTTTTCTCTCCTCCAGAACGGACACGAATGAGTTGATCCTGTATCCATGTCTGTAACTCCGGGACTTCAGCAAGCCGGTAAGGTATCTGAAAGCGTTGGAGCTCACTGATGATTTTCGCTGTTTTCATGTGCTTATCGAAATTGATAACCGATTTGCTACCGTCGCCAGTTGGTAGGGATCGTGTGTCTTGATTACCATGATCGACGAAAGTGAGGTCGGTTAGATAGGTTCCCACAAATGGTAGACATGGAGGTACATGGCCCTGCAGCCGTTGACGAAGTACAGCGTAGTTTTTTGAAACATCAACGATTTTCCTCATTTGTTCCAGCAAATTTTTCGTCCTCTGCGAAACCAGCTCCCAAGTACGTCTCAAACGAGAAATGGTAGAGGAGTTAAGAGAACAAATAATGGCCATCATAGAATCGTAGTTATTCAATTCCAGGCATTTAGACGCGACCTTGATCCATTGTTTGATAATCAAAGCTCTCTTTTTTGGTTCCTCTTGTTGCAAGATACAATCAGCCACAAGATTAGCCAGATCCGTTGATAACGTCGACATGGCTCGGACGTTTACAGCTAGTGAGCCGGTTTTTTTCATCCATTCAGTGGCTAATAGCTCCTCGGGCAGGATAGAGCAAAATATCCTAGACTCTTTGAGCGTGAACTGCCGTGCCAACTCCATGGAATCGAAGTCCAGTATGCTAACAGATTGACCTCCCGCTTTCCATTGTTTCAATAAGTTTAGCTGGCTTTTGGATATTATTGGGCTTGGGAGAGGAACATCAGGGCTAACGTATTGGGATACGGCAGTATTGGTCTTTCCCATTGAAGACACTAGTCTTGGAACCACCGGCCCATGCATTGTCGATACCTTCTCTGCAAGTTCCACTAGGCGATTTCCAGCAGAGGGCAGGGCAATCAATAGCTTTGTTCGAGCAAACTTCAGTATTGACGGGAGAGCAATATCATCGCAGTCATGTCGCCAATGAGACTCTAGCCACCCCTTGAAGATGTTATAGACTCGCAGACGGACAGGGCCAGCAGCTCCAGTGTGGTCTCCAATGTAATCATAGCGATCCATCAGTGTTTCTGCAAAGTCAATTGGTGTTGCAAAGTGCCGGAAGGTGAGATAAAATGTAGAAACGAAGAGGGCATCGGGGGTGGATTGGTGGGCGGTAAGTTTCTCGATGAGAGCCCGAAGGCTTCCTCCAATTACTTGACCATCCTTTAACATAAGCTCTTGAGCATATGTCTTCTCTAACAAATTCTCACCCTCATCAGCTTCCTCAATCAGAGTAGTCTGTGAGCCTTGGAAGCTGCTGTGGGCAATGACATGAGGAAAGGGCTTGTTGAAGTCAGGAGTGGTAGCACGAGTTGATGCCTGTGAAACAGCACTTGTCTCTGAGTTTCGAATACTATTCACGAACGTGGTTTCGCTCGTTGCTCTTGTCACATCGGTAGTCGATTCTGCATGGAATATGTCGGTGGGATGATTGTCTTCCGACGAAGTAGCATGGTACGTTTCATTGGTATCGCACTGTTCAGATGGGGTAGGGTGTTCGACAACGTCATGATATGAAGAAAAGTTTAGGTTCAGACGTATGTCAAGGGTTGAGGTTGGCGTTGAGACCATTGCGCTTGTGCACTCGGAGGATGGGGTAACACCATCAGTTAGATCTGGAGTGAACGGTAACTGCTTATTTGGTATTAAGATGGGTGGTAGGGGTGATCGCACAATCGACATCTCGTTGCCATTGTCTACCTTTTCGAACTGGTCATCTGGACTTTCTTGCATTTCAGAGTCGTCAACATACTGATTGTTGTTAGGGGTTTCGTGCTCGTCTGTGTCCAAGCCCGCTATCCCAAGCCCGATACCTTCCAACTCAAAATCACCACTCTGTTCAAATATATATCTGGCTTTGGCAACACAGTCGCCAGCCCCCCTAACACATCCAGTAGCCGCATCAACTAACCTTTTACCCTCACCTGGCATGAACACCACTTCATCATCTGTTGCATGTGCCGGCCGAAAGACATCACGGGTGGCATGGACAAGTTCAGTGATCCTATCATATAACGTATTTTTAGACTGCTCCAGAAGGTCAGAACGATGAAGATCACGCTCGCATATCGTTCCAACTATCGTAAGCAAAGTTCGACAAGACTGCGCAGCTTTTTGCGTAGTTAGGAGGAGTTCAGTCGATGAACGAGATTGTAGATGCAGCCCAATAAATGAGCCTAGAACACCAAGAAACTCGTCGTAGGCTGATGTAAGGAGTGCGGACGCAAGATTTGGATTATGTGTTGAGGAAGGGCCGTTGTAAGATATGCGGTGCGAAACAGATATCCTCTTAGGTTGAATGGATTGCCGCCTGAGGGGAATATGAGGATTATAGAGTTCTGCTTGCCCAATGGAAGTATGGGCATAACCCAAATAGTCTCCCTGATGGGCCTCATTGCTTCTCGAGCCACTTATACTGAAGGATGGAGTAGAGGAAATAGTAGATCCAAAAACCGGTCCAAAGAATGAGGCGTCCGCAGGGGGTGTTAGAGGGGTGTCATAGATATCATGGCTGGGGCTCATGGGAGAGACGTCAAGCTCTGCCATCGCTCTGTTCAGGCCGACTTCCTCGTTCCAGACGTCTAAAAACCTCACCCCTCGAATAACAATCTTAAATGCTTTAAAAAGCATCTGGTCGAAAATGGTGTCCAGCGATCCATCAAGCTCTCCCCCATTGGCAACATCCTGCAGGCGCTTTGCTAGCTTCACTAAAGACGAGAGATCTGAAAGAAGCGCTTTCCTGTTTCTCCTTAAGGCATCAAATTTCTGGACCAGTTGGCAATCTCGCGTGAGGCATTCAGATTTTTCCTTGTTGTTCGAGTCAGTGTGCGTTAATGTGAGTTTCGTGACAGAAGATTACGAACCAGCAAAAATCTCACACCAGCAATAAGACCTCTCATGTAATCCTGATTGCTAAACTGATGAAGGGTGGATGCTGATCCTCCACGGATGGTATCCCAAAAGTCAGTTAATGATTTAAGTATCGGTTGCATAGGCAATTGGTCGTATGCTTCACAATAGTTTGTCGGCAGCCAACCCCGAGCACCTGTTTCCAGCAAAGTACCATCAGCCCAGCCATTGGTGTGAATAGAATGAACCAGGATTATATCCCCTTGGTCCAAAGGCAACGTAACAGTAGAAGACGAGAAGCCCGCATTAGGTTGGAAGGGATAAAAGGCCCGCAGGTAATTGTGAAATATGGCTACTTCATGGCTATTCCTTTCAATCATGGCTTCTCGTGAGTTATGTGGTGTCAAAGGTGGGGTCACCTGCATTTGCGATGCTAATGAAGGCAACATATTGTTTGAAATCATCCCATCGGGGAGAGCTGCGGTCTGCATATGTGCATGAGGTTTGCCTTTCAGAACATGTAGTGGAGCAATATGGTCGTTCTGGATATCCATGGATGATACACCAGAAGCCTGAATTACTCCCAATATCGGGACGTCCTCAAAACAAACATTCATATACTGTGTGTGAGCAGGAACAGTCATTCATCGTCCAATCTAGCATGGGTATCCAATTAAGTGGCAGGACACTGTGTGAATATGTTCGTAATTGACATGGACGTTTTAACGGACTATGCAGACTCATGTCAGTATCTTCCAATCCAACAGTAGTTCTTTAACCATAGGAACGGTTCCTTGCTGTAAATAGAATTCCTTCATGACGGTTACAAATATAGGTATGTCTTAAAGGAAAGTAGGCATGAATTGGTAACGAGGTGGGAATCAGAACTTACCAACAACCAGATAATTATAGCAAAATATACTCGATGCACCAGGTGGCGAATGAATGAAGAAAAGTCGGTTTTGCGATCCGGATCACTGCTCAAAATTGACAGGCCTCCCGGTGGTGCGTTGTTGTCACAATGTTCGACAACAAACAAGACTGTGCTAGTATCAAGGGCAGTCCCGTCAACCAGAGAGCGTTGTGTGTAGGTCAAAAAGGGGTAAGCTCGCAGAGGGTAGGCCAAAACACAGCGGATCAACACGCCCAATGCGCACAACAACTCGCAAAGATGATAAGATATGCAACTACCAGAGAGTGCACCAGGCTGCTTCCTTCAAGGAGGAGGAAGGAATCAGGATTTCTTTCCCCCGCAGGAAAACCAGAACGGACAGTGTAAAATTGATAAGAAATCAGGGTTGGTGGCTCCCCAGAAAAACCAGAACAGACAGTGTAAAGTTGATAAGCAATCAAGGTTGGTGGCTATACCGGCGAGAACGAAGAACCCACAGCTCAAACAGAGAGAGTAAACGAAAGCAAGACAAGAGAGGAGGAGAAGAGGAAAGGAGAAGAGGAGAAATTGAAACTGAAGCAGAAGCAGAAGCAGAAGTAGAAGCATCCGCTGACATGCTCAAGAGGGTGAGAGATGAGCTTCATGGGAGCAGCCAAGACAAGGGGGAACCAGCCCGAATAGAAAACCAAAACACGGGATATGGAGCTGATTAGACCGGACTAAGGCAAAAGCTACATAGTTTAGCCTGCCCTTAGTCGAAGGTTCGACCCGTTCCAACGTTCGTGGTAGCGTGTCTGAATGGGTTAGATTCATTAGCTTTTGGCATCAGAATTGCTATTCTTCCACTCGACTCCACCACAGGGGATGATTGACGGGGGCAAGTGGCTTGCTCTCCCGGTTCCCGTCCCAATGAATGGATGACTAGCTACACTAACTTAGCGGCAAACTTCTCTATCACTCGAGTTGACAAGTCCGGCATCTCCTCCCCGCCCACTGCTGAGCCATGCTGCCTCGGGGGATTCCAGCTCGCCGCGAGGCCTTCCCTCTATCGCGCTGGTAACTGACATGAATCACCTTTTCTGTTCAAACGAGGCTCCAACGTGAGTTTCCGACCAGCTATGTGGAGGAGAATAAAATGGCCATGTCGGTCGTGGTCGAGTGTTCGATGGGTAAGCTGACAGAAAGATGAGGTCAATCGTTGGCATCCATGTCCAGTATCATGCTGACCTTCGTCACAAGTTTGCAGCTGCATATACGGAAAATTCGTCATCTGTCTGTGGGTTCGCCTCAAGCTAGTATGACGGAGAACTGTGAGTGGTAGGATACGCTTTTCGACATCCCTGTCTGTATCACTCTCTGAGCCCGCCCGGTGCAGTAACTTAAGACCCTAAACTCGAGTGGACGAACATAAAATTAGGTTCTTAAGACTAAAAAATAAATAGAAAGTAGAGAGATATTTTATTTTATTTTATTTTATTCTTGAAACATGCCTGTCTCACGGTCTCATCGAGGATTACCCCGTCGAGCCAAATATCAAGTCCTTGTTCCGGTCGGAGCTTCCAGGAGGCAGGCTGGAGTTACGATTGATTGCAAACCGAGTTAAGGATTGGCAACAGTTGGGCACAATAATGCCTGAGCGACTGATAAGTTGCTCAGTAAAGAATAACTTAATGAGCATGCTGAGGATATAGAGTGCTCTGCCGTGAATCCAGCTTTGTTTTCTTACCATTGTTATTATGACAGGTTTTATGCAACGCACCTCTCTGCGACTCACTCGCCGGCCTTGCTCATCACTGATATTCTGGTCTCTAAAGATCTTGAGCTGAACGGAGTATCAGCACTGCACAATGCATTCCTGCTCCTCATGGAATTCAAAACCCGAGCAGTCTTCCCTGCATATATATTGCATTATTTCCCACTAACATACAGCTCTGCTGCAGTTAAATACTGCGTAGGAGATATGGCCGAAAGAACCCGACTCGGCGACTGCTGCCCGTACCAAGAAAGAAATTCGACTCCCGCAAACGCCATCTTCTACAAATCTATTTGGAGGCAGGTCTCCTACAGGTTTCTTCTTTCTCTAGCCAAATTGTGACAGCATTCCTATTGCATTCCAAAAAAAAAATAAAAATAAAAATAAAAATGTCCAGAGCTTTTTCAAGGTTGATACTTGTTATGCCGGGGGTTTGAGAATCATCTCGACCCCAGAAACTCTAATCCTCAAACAGCTCAGGATTTGCTTTTGGGACGGATTGTGGCTTTGTTTTGGTGTTCTGAGGGGTCGAAAGATTCCCCATGCATTTTTTCCCCATCATTTCCCCGATAACAATTCGCATTCTTTGATGAATCAAAGAAAAAGGAAATAACAGAAAATAAATATTTTACTGCAACTGACATATTATTATCTTCTTTTTTTTTTTAAAAAAAGAAAATTATTGATTAACATGCGGATGTAGGATATCTCCATTGCTATGCAATGTCCTCCGCGGTGGCGTTCAAACTACCCGCCCACAATTGTCTGGGAGATGATAATCATTGAATATCAAAAATGATCCTATCGCCCACCAGATAAGCAGTAGTGATCAAAATTCTTCACAACAGGATTTGAAGAAAAGCCTGAGGGGTGGACGCATCGCCATGGTGATAAGGTCTCCGACTGATATCAATGAATAAAAACCTCAAACCCTCAAGGTGTCTGAACTATTCTACATTTTGTAAGAGGGTTCTGGAACCTCAAAACATATTTGCTTTCGCATCAATAGGACCTATCTAGTTGTTTTCAAAGTGTTCCAGAGCTCCAACTTGCATACACTCAAACATGAACAGTCTCGTCCCAGCCAGTTTCACGAATGGCAGGAGTCGGAACCAACCAAGACCTCGATCAGCTGTCATCCTCTGTCCACTATTCAAGTGACAGATTTTGTGGGAGTACAGAGACTTCTTAAAGGAGACTACGCAGCGTATATCTTCCATCTTATGCCGGTGGACAGGATGAATTCCTAAAATCCAATCAGACCTATCATAAGCTGGTATTATGCAGTCTGGCAAGCCTTGTCTCTGAGTACACCCGCGGTTCTGGCGTTCGTCTTCTCTCTGTGAGCGGTTGCCGAGCATCTATATTTCTTCCCCAAAATTATTTTACTAAAAAAATTAAAAAAGAAACCTTTATAGTGTGGTTTATGTCATAGTTATTGGCAACAAAAAAAGATCTGTATTACTATCCATGGAGGCTCTCACAAAGTGCTAGTATCGATGCTCATGGAACCATGATGTGTATACTGTTGAGTTCTGAGCTGCAAGTCAGATTTAAATGTTACTTAGTAGTTAACATCCTGCACATTCTGCATCATAGCCCTCTGGGAAAAACTAGATTCCTGGATCTGAAAATGGTGTTTGCCCTTCTCAGTGACTGCAGCTATGAACGTTCATTATTCATGAGAACATTCTCACACTTTCCCGACTCAGAACAGCTCTCCATCGATAACTGGGGAAGATGTGCATCTGTTTTAATCATAACAGATTCCCAAGTAACCGGAAACTCCACCAAGACTAGACTTAATCATATACTAGTTAGTTAACTAGTTGGCTACTAGCATGTTTAGTTATCTTGCTAATTTAGGGCAATGGAACCAGGGGTTCATTCATTCAGGAGTTGGCACTACGGAGCCCCCTGAGGAACAAACGCTGGAAAACTAAAACTCAACCCGCTCCATAAACTACTGAATCCATCTGATTATTTGAACCCAGTCTTCTTCTGTTTTCTAATTGCGAACGGTTCCAGACCCGGACCATCAAAGTCCTGTCTTCATGGTGCAGGAAATTCTCAGAAAGAGGCCAAGGTTCTCCCTATCTGTAGCGGGACTCTTACTATTAGGTATCCACCGTTAGTGGAGAGTAAGGTATTATTCGCAACGGTCTACTCCTCAGCTTGGAGGAGTATGGCTTTTAGGAGCATCGTACGGAACCCTCCGTGCGACGATGTTCTATTTCTAGTTCACTTCTTCTACACCACTCGAACAAGAGCGGAAATATATCGGCTCCTCAGTCGGAAAGACATTTTCATAGGCCTGCTGATGCTCCCTCACGCAACCAATCTAACCAATCCAAATCCCACCATTGAGGGAGTATTTCAGATAAGTTACGTAGCGGGACAGAATTTCGTCCTCCATCTAGTGCATATCATATCGTTGTAATTTTTCAACACGCGCATATTCGGGAATTTATAATGAGGAGCAGAGCAAAGTGTGTCCTTCTCTGTTCCTCAGCACTCACTACGCCATACCCATCATGGACATTTCTTTACAGGCCATTCCCCAGTCCGATCCCCCCCCCCCAGACTTTATGACTGCAGAATATCATCCCATCACGAGGCAACATTGGGACAAGGTCTCTCGTCCCCTTTGAATTGCCGCACAGACACTCCGGAGAAGAGTCAGAACTGACAGAGAAGAAAAAGAAAGGAAAAGGAAAGGAACTAAAAATGGCTTATTATGAACGACAGCAAGGGGGCAGCTGCGAAGAGTTTCCGGCCCCGCTGATCGTCCTTCAGCATTCAGGGGTGCCCTTTTGAGTGTGGTGTTTTAGTGGAATCTGAGGACTGGCCGATATCAATGGTGACATGGCTCTTTTGAACCAAAGAAACTATTGAAAAATGGCATGGGGCAATGGGGAGTTATTGCAATTGATTCCAGAACCGGTCCTGAGCTCGCCAGTGGGACTTTTGTGCCCTTTCACCTTTTTGGACAGTGGAAGAAATTTCGTTGGCAATTTTATTGGAGAATGACCGTTGGCACTGTATGTATTCACAATATTGCAATCTTGACTGTCTGGTATTTATGATCACCATAGCCCCCACGAAAACAAGTGGGTCTGATCTCTGATGGATGAGATTCCTCCAGCGCAAGAGTGATTTGCAACCCAGTCAGGGGAACCAACGACTCTCACAGGGTGACGGGAATTTGGGTCTTGTACAGATAGAAAGGGTCAACCAGATCTCACTTGTCTATCATGCTTCCCTGCAAGCCCATCACGGCAAGGCTGAAAGGCTGGCATTATTGCAAGCGATGATACTGCAATGCGCAGTTGGAGAATCTATGAGACAGGCGAGATGGCACATGGTTCAATGATGACGCAGGGAGCAAGAATGACAGTGATCAATTCGAGCAGAAAGGTGATTTGCATGTATGCTTGCTCTGCCTCAGCAGATATCGTCACCATCTAGGGCCTTGAAGATACATTTCTACAAGGTTGTTGCTGTGCTGCTTTAGCTTGCCTGATGATTTCTCTGGATGCTGTTGCCTTTGCACTGCTGCAAACTCAGATATGTATATGTGAGATGTACATGTCATGTACAAAATTTCAGTGAGCAGGTAGATGACTTGCTAATAAAACTCATGAGATCCTGCAGCCAGGCAAGGCACTCTTAGCTTTCAGTCCGACTGATAACCCCACATTTCTTCAGAGAGTTAACGAGAACTAATAGCCACCACGGAAGTCGGATTGTGGGGTGGTGAGTCTAGAATTGCTGCGGTATCCACCTAGACACACTAGATTAAATCCTTTGTAACGCAATCAAGTATCGGGAGAACAAGACTGTATTCCAAAATGATATGGTTGCTATTGAAAAAAAAAAAAGAGAAATGTTCAGCATTTTACGTGCTTCAAGTGATGTTCATTCTCAAGATCCACCATCAGCGCTGAAGAGCGAGAGTATTGTAGAGTGAAATTCTTTCTTTCTATTAATTCTTCAAGTTCAATACATCTCCAAAAGAGATCAGAGAGGCAAAGGTTAATAATAAGATGTCATAAAATTCATAAGAATATGGTTCAATGCGGGGGAAGACAGCATTAACTATATGTCCCAGAGAATGTAGTAAATATATATTACATTTACGCACAGTACAAATTCAAACGTGCTGCGTGTGGATCACGCCGTGCTGGGAGCAAGTTGCAACTGAGAAACATATGGGTCTGTTGGACTTTTGCAAACCACCGTCAAACACGGAAAATTTGCCCTAGGAAACATTTCCTCAATGCCATTGTCCTTATGGGCGGTCTTAATTTATTCTTCTGAACACCACGCAATTGTGAGCATCACGGCTCCCGATAAGGATGTTGCCGTGATGTGATTTGTCTCGATTTCTGTACATTCTCCCTCCAAACCTATCGTGTGCCCAAAATGCATTACTGAGCACTTGGAAGAAAATACTTGTGCAGGAAAGAGATGGTCCAATTGAACACAAACATAGGATTCACAATTTATTTGTTAAATTTCTGGGTACGAATTTCAGGATGCAGCAGAGCAGCCCTGCTCCAACAGCCAGACGGTTGATCAGGAAGGCCAGATTTTCCCTGGTGTTTTTTCAGTCCAGAACGCACTCGAAACATCCAAACAATGAGCCGGCCTGTGCCAAGTCGCCCAAACTCACAAGGGCAGATAAGCTAGCAAATGAAAAATGCAGCCAAGGCTGACCAACGTCGACAAACTTTTGATCTTGCATAAATATGAGTGCTGAAAATTAATCGTCTTTTCTAGTGCAAAGATCTCCGACATTCTTGGGTTTGCATTAGCGCTCGTTGAGGGTTAATGGCAAATAAGAATGGGCCAGGAAAGCTGAATGTTGCCAGGTTCCCCCCTCTCCCGACCTTTTTTGCAGAAGTTTCCCCTTATCAACAAAAGTCCACCCGGAGCAGTCAGTAGCATACGCAAGCAAAAAGCCCACGGAACGTAATGTGGCTTGCCGGATGAGGATTTAGTACAACACGCCAAAGCCAGAGAACTGGATTCGGAACCTGAGGGAGATCGAAACCGTTGATTCAATGAGATGCATCCCCCGACTCGCCACTCAGTCGTGGTAAGAAGCCTCAAAAAAAGGGTTTTCTGTTATTTCCTGTCAGTGTTTGGATACTGCGAAAATCAATAAAATCATGGAGGGACATGGACGCAGCACACGGATTGCTATTTGATCTGCTCTTGGACTCGATTCAACCTTCTATCTCTGATGCATAACGCTAATGCATGGTGACGGAATTCGACAACATCCATGATCAACCCTGAACTAAGGTTTATTTTATTACTGACATTGTTATTCTGACTTTCTCTTGCGCTCATACTACAAACCCACCCCACTGCTGAATGAAATCCTCTAATCTATCCATGAAAATGCACAATGTCAACTGGGGAAGAATCTTCAAAAATGCAGCGCAACATTCTACCAAACTGCTCACAAAAACCTCGAATGGGCTATCTCTGTTTGCTGCAGGCACATAGCCGGGATTTTGCATTATGTTACTGATGAATTTTCAGGGACGCACTTACGGCTGCAATGTTACAAATTTTTACTTGGACAAAGGGATGCAGGAGCCTGGGCTTTTTTTCTCATCCATTTCCCTTTATTTGTGCACACCGCAGATGAAGAAGCACAAGGTGAGTCCAAGGTTCCAATGTCTAGTTGGTGGCGGCACCAATAACAATGTTAAAACTGATGATCACTTGCTCCTGAATCAAGGATGAACAGTGTTCCAAACATTTCACCTTGAACCAGCCAATCTTGTTATATATTATCGAACAAGAATAGCGTTGAATCTCATGTCCGAAAAGGGAAATCACTATATCGATATTCTGATCTCTGATCTCTACTAAATCTCTGTGGATTTCACCCGGCTTTCTATAACTGTGGAATATCTGATTTTACCCTATTTTCTTATATGGCTGATGCCGTCAAATTTATCCAGCTGGTGGAGGAGGAGGAGGAGGAGGAGGAGGAGACGGAGCAGGATTGGCCAGCGGACAAAGTTGACATTATGGAGGAATTGGAAAGTGAAAGGCCGATGAGTGTTGAGTTCAAAAACCTTTCATGGTATGATCTCCACGTGCATGCGAGCATTTGGCTGACTAGCGAGCAGCAATGATCTCCCAACGTATGGACCGACGCCGTCAAGTCCATGCCTGAGGGTGGGCAGTTGATACAAGTGACCAGCGGATCGGCTACGCAGCCTCTAGCCGACCAATACAATTCCGCCAAAGAGAGTCTGTGATAATCATCCCGTCCAAATCGGCGATACTGACTCTAACATAGATCAACTGGCAAGTCTACGACAGATGGGATTTATTGCACCATTCTGCAATCCCGGCATGATTCCTATTCTTCTCCCTGGGCTTAGCTGATCAATGGACAGATCAAACACGAGATGGTAACAGGCATGGCTCAAATATTAATAGGGGGTATGGAAGACCTCTTGCTGGAGGGAACCAATTACACCTCCATGCACATTATTCCTCAACGAGACAGAATCAAGAGAGACCAGGAATGAATCCACGACCGCGCCATCCACGGAAAATAGGGGTGAGACTGCCTCTGTCTTTATAACCATACACTTGGTATTGCTAACAGTCTACCGATAAAAGTGTGAAAGATATGTTCACAAATGCACCGGCCGACAGCATCTTGGAATTACCCGAACCATTTAGAACAGCAGTCCAGAATAGCCTGATCTAAAAATGGGAAAGAAGTCAAGAACTGGAGACGACAGGATGTTTAGCTACTTTGTTTCCCAAGGGTGATGCTCAGGACCGTTTCCTCACGATCTGGTGTGGTCACAACGAGGGATACCGTCTCATCAGTATCTCTGGAATGGAGCTTACAATGTCATCCTAGACCTCGAAATATACGCTAGCGACTCTGACGTATACCTATTGAAGGGGATAATAATGCAATAATGAGCCGGCTCATCCCCATGGCCTAAAAAAGGCCTGGAATGGAAGACCTTCACGAGTCCTTGCCAGCTGGATGACTAATTGTATTAGTTGGTTAACTAACTAGTTATCGGAGGTTGATCTCTAAGAAACCACACCTCAAGCATCAGAGCAGCAACACTGACTGTACTTCAAATTTGGAAAAGCCCACCGCCGAAACCCTGTATTTTCTGTGTAGAATACACCCCCTTTTCCAACCTGCAGGCCGGGAAAGACAAGATAGGAAAACCGCAATGAAGAAAGGCTTGAGTGGTAACTAATTGTCACTTAGAGGATGGATTCGCCTACAGCTTGTTCGCTCATAATACTCATATATATATACATCGGGAACTAATACAATAGGGCGGAATATAGTCATCTGTGACACGTATACTGATAGAGGAGATCTAAAGTTTATTTTCCAGAAGCTGGGTAATTGTAATCTTGCCATATAAAATAGGAATGTTTTAGCTTCCGTCTCGCTACACAGGCATTCAGTAGATGAAGCATGTAGAGGACATGGAACATACCAGGCGTAATAATCATCGGGTCTTCACCAAGTGTTGGCAATGAGGCCAAGAGTTCGGTTTCCAGAGACTGAAGTTGGTAAAGGAGTTCACTTGTCTTATTATAGATCTGGAGAATATGATTACTCGACATGGTGAGGTGACTGCATATGATAAGCAGAGATGCTACTCATTTGATTGCTTCATGAACCTTTAGTTACACCCAACTCCAACCTTCCCTACAACATGCGCGACTAGGTCTCTCATTTCAAGTCCAAACATCTCCTTTACTCAGGCAGCCAAACCAAGATCGGGTGCATATCAGTGTGTCGAGCCCCCTTCAGCACACCTCAACGCTGAACAACTGTGCAGCGGTAGAGAACCGTTGCTCAGTCTGGTCAGAATTCTGGTTTAACAGAAAGCCCTGTAGCTTCTCTCATTCCCCTATCCCGCTCAAACCTTGAAACAGTCCTGTCTGCGGAGGGGCAGAAGAGATCCATCTACTATCGATGGATGTGTTTTGACCGAGCCCTCTCAGTCCCTCATTTCTCCCTCCCTCCCTCTCTCTCTCAGGAAGACTCGGATCAAGAGTGAGTGAGGTCATTGAACTCAACTTCTAAGTAAGCGCAAATATGTTAATCCTTTATATCTGGCTTATACTAGCGTCACTGTAAGGGCTGATATCTAGCGCCATATGGCGGACCGTATCATTGGTTCAACATGACCTCCACCTCCAAAAATTTGCTTTTAATCTCCAAAAGTTGCCTTTTTCGTTAGTTCTTCTCTTGAAGAATAGCTCTCCTATTACGCCTGTTGTTGGCCTTTCGGACTAGATTTGTATATAGAATGAGCGGTATCAGCATAAGGATATCAGTCATCTCGAACCTCTATAAAAGAGGGGTGAAATCCTCCGTTCGCTGAGGGGAAAAGCTCGATACCAAGAATCATCACTATTCTGCCTCACAGAGGATTACCTATTTTAGCTTCACCGCCTTCCTATTCCGTACATCATCCCCCTATCTAGTCCGTATAGGACATCTCCTTATATCGGCTATATCAACCATTTGACAGTCACCCACACCTCTGTATAAATTAGATCAAGTGGCTACGTATTCTCTGAGGTTAGTATTAGATATAGATATATACCCGAGATTACGTTCGATAAAATAGAAGTCGTTGGTTTAACGTTAGATAGCTACCCCGCTTCAGCCTTTCTTCTTGGCGTTAGCCAACGTTCAATCGATGCACAATCTCCCTTTGTAACATGACGGGTCCTCCCGCCCCTACAGTCTTCACCTAACAAGAGTATTAATTTTTTTTTTTTTTTTTTTTTTTTGGGGGGGGGGGGGATTTACAGATTATCGCCGGTGAGAGCGACACCAGTTTGGGGATTGCCAATTTAGGCTATTGGGAAATTGTTGAAAAGCGACAACGACAGCGACGGAATCAGAACCAGAATCATAACCCACAATAGTTGTTCTGAGGTATTGACATACGACTCTACATTTGTCATCATCATGGAAGAAGAGATTGCAAAATTGCGACAGCAACTTCAAGAAGAGCAGCGCCGACGCGAGCAGGCCGAAGCGGCTGCAGAATCATCACGGCGGCAAGCTTTACAGGATTATTTGCAAGCTTGCCACTCGCTCAGTCTTGCCATTCAGGTGGTCACTGACCGTTCAATGACCACACAAGGTGATACTACCAAAACCAGCGGGCAGGCTCTTCCCGCAGCGAATTATCCCATGGGACAGCTTCGCGACCCAACAGGAAGAAATCTGGAACAAAGTCTCGATTAGTAGTGATTTTCACTCTCGAGGCGTCTTTCCATCTCTACACCAGCTTGAATATGTGCGATCATTGATCGCTCCAATCAGCGGAGAGATTGGACTTCGGACTTACGAACGGGACATGGTGGAGAATGCTGTTCAGAAGCTGGTGAATGCAGTATACGACGACGAGCTGCTGCGAAAACAACTTCGACTTCGAGGAACGGTGACATTTGAGAGCACATGAACCTTGGCAGACTACAATAGCTCGATTAATGAATCGATGGAGCAGATGTCGATCAGTGAAGACAATTCAGACGATGCTGATACGGTAGCGCAAAAAAGGCGCAAGGAAAAAATCTCAGCACATGATCGACACCATATGCAGTCACGAAGTCCCAAAGGCCCCCGTAAAGCAAGAGGAAAGGGCTCTCGAGCAGACCAATTTTGCATATTCAGGACTTCTGACGGCAGAAACATTCCTACAGTCGCAATAGAGTACAAAGCGCCACACAAGCTGAGCCGGGATGAGATTGTGACAGGGTTGGACTCCGAAATCCAACCGGAGCGGGATGTGATAAACAAAGAAGGTGATAACTTTGCATTTACATCGAAATCGTTAGTTGCTGCAGTCATTACCCAGCTCTTCTCATACATGATCGGCAAGGGAATCCAATATGGATATGTGTGTACTGGAGAAGTCTTTATCTTCCTCCATATACCGGATGATCCTACTGTTGTCTACTATTCTGTGTCGGTGCCAAATATCGACTTCCAAGAGGATGATGAGAATCGGTTCCATCGCTCGGCTGTTGCACAAGTCTTCGCCTTCATCCTCCGCGCCCTTCTCAAAGAACCACCTCCCCAGTCATGGCATGATAAGACCTTGACCTTGGACATATGGAAGGTGGAATATCTTAACATTTTGAGACATATTCCCGAGACAGTTCGCAAACATCACTCTCCTTCCCCTTATAAACCTCAACGTTGGCAGGGCTTTAAACGCTCGCCGATTCGAACCCGCTCTCGCTGTCAGCCATTAGTCACCAGTATTGTGCAGGATGACGACGACGAAGAGGACGGCACTCCTCCTTCTCCAACCCTAAGCCGAGCTCTCCGCTCTCATAAGTCCTCAGCAGCATCCGCAGGCAACACAGAGGGGAATTCAAAAAGCAAGCGCGGACAAGGCAAGGAGGGCGGTCAGAAGACACAGCGCCCGCTGCAGAGTATAGCTGACCGGTCGTTTTGCACTCAACAGTGCCTCTTGGGATTGGCGTATGGCGGTGCAATGGATGCTGAATGTCCCAATTCCGATGATCATGGAATGGAGCATATCAGCCGAACAGACTTTCTCCATCTTGTTCGTTCACAGCTGGCCCGGGACCGTGGACCAGAGGCGGATTGCAGGCCGCTTTACTTATCTGGTTCACGTGGGGCATTATCTAAGGTACGATTATCCTCGCATGGTTATACGCTAGTTGCCAAGGGTGTGGAGAGATGTGACCGTGGTCTTCTGCAACGCGAAAACAAATTGTACAATCGACTTCGCACCATCCAGGGAAGCCACATCCCCGTATGCCTCGGCCTCACAGATCTGGATCTACCATACTACTACGACTCTGGCATATATGTTTCCATTCTATTGCTAGGCTGGGCTGGACAGCCGTTGTTGGAGTGCATCGACCAGGATAACAAGGAGCGCCTCCAAAACAAAGTGGCTATGGCCTTCACTGCGTTACACCGTTTGCATGTCCTACATCATGACGCAGAGCTGCGCAACATTGTATACGACAAACTGAAAGATCGTCTTATGATAGTTGATTTTGAGCGAGCCAGAGTTCCGAGGTCGTCAGCCTCTACAATCGGCCGATTTAAATCCGTCAAGCAGAAAGAGAAAACATATAGGGACAAAGATAGAGGGACATGGGATAAATAATTTTGAAAGAGAGCTGCAGTCTTTCATCAAATGCGTCTCAATATATGTTGGATAATTAGTCTATATAGCTCTAAGCATCAGATTAGAAAGATGAGGTATGTCTGAGAAGGATACAACACAATTTTACAATTTTGGAGCTGGTGCGCTGTCAGTTCATGGTTGTTCCGCTCATATCTCTGCCTTTCCTCTTCAATAGGTTGAATAAATGTGTCAACCTGTGATGGTTCCACTGCCATCGTTCTTGTTAACCAACAGTGGGCGTTGCAAAATGAGCAAAAACGGGCGGGCGTGGCCAAGTATATAACACAATGTGAACCCATCTCTTCATACGAGAAACCAATCAGGCCAGTGTCCATTTGCTCATTTTTGCTCATCTCTACCCATTCTTGTCCAACATTCCCAGGACAATCTCGCTGGCATATTTAGCACGGATCAAAATAGAATCCTTGCTACGGCCGGCACGTTAAGAAGAGAGACGTTACAAATGTGAGTCCACCCTCTGCGGCGACTACCAGCTGGCTGGCGACCAGTCTTGCCGCCGCGGTGAGAAGTTCTTTACAATTCCAGGACTGCATATGTTGAGGTCACTAATGCACATAAGTGAGATACGCCATGGGATCACGGTAAGGCGAGATGGGGCAGCAATTTTACCTGTGTCAGACCTTCTCACGGTCTTGTGCGGCTCCCTCACAGTCAAGGAACAAAACTATTGTAATTATTATAATCTGATTCATGACAGGTCCAACCATTACAGTGGAAACTTGCCACAAACTAAACTACATACAATTCATTAGGCACCAATGCAGATGCCCCAGCAGCATGAGTATTCTAGGGCGAATGGTGTACAATTGTCAAGTTATGGTCATCTAGAAAGCAACGCTATATCTCCAAAAAAAAAAAAAAGAAAGAAAAAGAAAAAAGAAAAGAAAAGAGGGCAGCTGGTGCGTCTAACTGCCTCGCTTGGAAAGGAAACAAAACATCAATGTTAGCTGGGCGCTAGGGAAAGATCCTAACTGAGGTACCTATCAATCGTGCAATAGGACGGTCTTCCCCATACGCAACCGTGACACAAGAAATGGATCTCAGGACCGCTTCACGCAAGCTCGAGGCAAACACACTTTGACAAGGGAAACACAAATAGTAGCTATGCGGGTGCCGCCAGTTATTAAGGTTGGTGCCGTCAACCTAAATACCTACCAAAATAAACCAAGGCACGGTCTATTTTTATCCGATGAATTGCTAGCTGTGGGAAACCTCTGATCCACTTGTTACTACCCACATAACATTCCTTTCTAAATAGATCATTTTAGTTGAACCTCTGAAGACAAAGTGAATTACTGCAGTTTAAAATGATAACTATGAATTTATTTTTGTACTTACAGTAATATATGCAGATGAAACAACTCTTTCATCTACTTTTATTTATTAAAAAAAATCTCACAATATATTGAATACATGAATGGAGAATCTGAATGAGAATAATACAGCTTATTTTGTAATTTCTGAGAAAGATTAAAATAATAATGATTAAAAGCTTAATTAACTGAAGTAAATTTCTAATAAATATATTAAAATTAAAAGCAGATTACAGAAGATATCTTATTTTAAATAAATATTTTTCATATATTAATATGAGAATTATTAATTTTATAGATTAAAATTGAATTTTTTTTGCAATACTATTTTTATATTCAACTCACTAACTGCAATTTTTAAATATTAACATCTTGATGCGTACGAGCAATTGAATAGATAGGATAAATCATGTCTGATTCTTTTCTAATAAGATGGGCGGATGCCCTGCTATATATACACACTATAATCACTCTATATGGTAGGAGCGATCGCATAGGATAGGAAATATAGGAAAGATTGGGGCCCCTGAGTGGATTAGGGAGGGGCGAATAGAGAGCGGATACTAATATAGGAAGGGGCGGAAGAATAGGGGCGGAACACCAGGGGCGGAACGCCACAGGTAATAATAGGGGCGGAACGCCACACATCTTTAATTCTCTAGTAAAAGTATATTTTTAAAGTGTTAATAATTTTCTTTACAGTGAATTTGAATTTATTAAAATAATAAAAAAAGCTTTTTATCAATTTTCAATTTTATATAAAATTAGTTTTTAATATCTAAGATTATTTAATTCATATTTATTATTACTACTATTTATTTTTTTACTTCTAAGTATATTTTTTACTGATTTACAAAGATTTATATCTTTAATCAATTCAACTTAAGCTGAGATTACTATATTTATAATTACTTATACTTTTTAATATGATATTAAAAGAATTTAAATTCAGTAAAGTTTACTCTTTAAAAATATATAAACAATTATATATATTAGTAAGAAGTTTATCTTTAAAAAGAAAATGCTTCTGTATAAAAATAAAACTTTAATTAAAATTTTATGCAATGAAAAAAAGTGATAATATGAAAAGTTCTTAAATTTATTGCATTCAAAGCAGCAGTTTGATCCGACTTAATTCCTCTCATCATTCAATATTAAACAAGCTTATGAGAAAATTTAAAAATCAAATTATAAAGAAGAGAAAAAAACTGCTCAATAAACTTAAAAGTAACTTCAATATAATCTTTGAAAAGCATATGAAGCTAAAAAAACTTAGTAAAAATAAATTGAATAACAAGCAATTCAGATAACAGCTCAGAAAGTCTATAAGAAAGAGAAAATTAGAAAGATAGAGCAGTGTAAAGCTCAACAGCTTACTGAGAAATTAAAAAAACTCAGCTTGAAGCTGAGAAGCAAGAACAGACTTATACTCATGCTGCAAAGTAAAAACTAGTCAATTTAACTACAACTATGTCAAAATGACAGTAGAAGCAGACATCTACAAAGAATTTTTTTAAGCCTTATTTAATTTTTTAGTCTAGGAAATAAGGTCAATCTCAATTTCTCAAAGCAGCTTACTGCTGCTTTTATTACTAATTCAGAAATTGACACTTCTTTAATTAATTTTCTAACTTCATATTAAATTTTCTGTCATGATTGTGTTCTTTGATGAAGCACAAAACTATTTTATTAAACCACCTATTTTATATGGAATTAGAGAATACTCTCATTACTATTTAATAATCTAATTAATTTTTATTTTTGTTGTTGTGAAATTAATTGAATTCTAACAAGTTGAGTTAGTTTTACTAAGAGTAGCTGTTAGGCTCAGCACCCGATTAGGCCTAACCCTCATCACGTGACCACGCGACCATGTGGGTTGTTATAACCCAGGCAGGCCCCAGCAACCCCTTTTCATCCCATCAAGCTTAGTATTCTGTTATATAGCAGTTAGCAACACAGAGAGTTTCCTTCTTATGCAGCTCACATTCACACCCTAACAGTAGCTCATTTAGTGATACATTAGTGGTAAGTCACATTATAGAGAAGATGAAAATTTTGATGGACTGTCACATGATATGTGAAATACATCCCTAAAATTGTTTTTCAATTACATAGATTATATATATAAGATATATATATTTATAGATATTGAGAGATTGTGGATTTAAATGATTTGGACTTAGAGTCAGTTGATTCTGCGGCTACCCTATGTATATAGTTTAGATTTCGGCTAGTTTTTTAGTATTTAGTTATCTCACACAAACATCCTTCCAGGAGATTGACCACGTGATTATTTTGATGACTCATCTGGGCTGAACCCGCTGAAATTATCTGTTGCATCTCCGTTTGGGATTGGGGGAAGAGGGTCGGCAAAGTAATAGCAGTCAGGGCTTTGAACAGTCGGTCTCCATTGAACTGATTGACATGGTAGTGAGGGCCAATCGATATACCAATCGACAATCATGGCTTTCACAATCAAGGTCCCCTGCTCATCGGCAAACATAGGTCCAGGATTTGATGTGATCGGTAAGTCAGCTCCTGCGCCAAACGATCGAGAAGAGGCATGCAATGTCCGGTTTGTTTGTATTGGCGGCATCTGCTGTCTGCTTGCTCCCCTTCATCCGGTTTCTCAGCGACTGGAGCTAACGGAGATATTCACCCAGGCCTGGCCCTTTCCATCTATCTCGAGCTGCACGTTACGACGACAAATACCACAGCTAAGATCCCGCTCAATTGCGCCATCACATATGAAGGAGAAGGTGAAGGGGAGGTTGACTTGGACCCAGAAGTCAATCTTATAACGCGCGTTGCTCTTTATGTTCTTCGATGCCATAATCAACGCGCTTTTCCCGTTGAAACTCATGTTCACATCAAAAATTCGATCCCGCTAGGACGAGGGTTAGGTTCCAGCGGGGCAGCGGTTACTGCAGGAGTTATGCTAGGTAATGAAATAGGGAGATTAAATTTAAGCAAAGCTCGAATGCTAGATTATTGCTTAATGATAGGTATATAGACTTGAGCATCCGCAACATCCAAAGACGCACATGTCCCTCGCTAAGCGTGCAAATACAGAACGTCATCCTGATAATGTTGCGGCGGCGCTTTATGGGGGTTTCGTGGGAACCTATCTGAACGTGCTCAAACCTGAGGATTTAGCTTGGAAAGAAATTCCGTTGAGTGAAGTTCTACCAGCACCAGCTGGAGGAATCGACACTGGCGCGAAACCGCCGGAACCACCCATCGGTATTGGACATTACAAGAAATTCCCTTGGTCCCCACGGATCAAGGCCGTAGTGATTATACCTAATTTCGAGCTTTCCACTGCGAAAGCCCGTGAGGTTCTTCCAGAGATGTACTCGAGAGCGGATGTCGTATGTAGCTATCAAACTGTGTCCTGTTGACGCTTTTCACATTATGTTGCAATGCAGCTAACCTCTTAACTGTCCTGCTCAAAATCAATTAGGTATTTAACCTCCAACGAGCCACTCTTCTCCCTTCAGCTCTCAGTCAATCTCCATTAGATCCAGACATGATCTACCTCGCAATGCAGGACAGAGTTCACCAACAGTACCGAAAACATCTAGTACCAGGACTCACTGAAATCCTCAACTCAATGAATCCTTCCACCCAATCCGGACTGTTAGGGATATGTCTCTCTGGGGCAGGCCCCACGATATTGGCCCTTGCTACTACCAATTTCAATCAGATTGCGGAGCGCATTGTGTCGAAATTTAAACAACATGGTATCACGTGTCGATGGGAGGTGTTAGAGCTAGCCGAAGATGGGGCGATTGTTGAAAGAAAGAAAGATGTATAGAGTGTGGGTCGAACGAGCGGAACCCGACCGTATAAAATCATATCGTATCCCCTAAGCTTTAAATGAATCAGAAAGACGTTGCGGGATGGAGATGCCTAATATACGGGAAAGCTGGTTGTCACGCATGTTTATGGTCCTGAAATGGACTGTCCTAATACCCATCCATCATCAAGCCACGGTTTAGTCGAGTTAGACAAACAAGGATATCAGGACAAGGTTTACCTAATATTCTGATACTGAAAGTTTTTTTTTTTTTTTCTTTTTGACGATTTGACGCACTTTTATGTATGACTTGACGGTTTTGGTTCTCTTTCTTCCATTTTTCCATTTATAGAAAGGGGAACGGTAAAGGAACGGTAAAGGAACATTAAAGGATAAATAAAGATTTGAGGGTATAAATTTTAATCTCAATCTATGATCGGGTTTTCCTTCTGTCATAAAAAATGTGTGGGCAGGGCTGCGATGTCAATTTGGCAACCCTACGAACTAATCGCGATGGTATGGAGTACGTCGATCCATAACTGTATGTGAATGAGGTTTTGTCGCCTTCCTACACTGTAATTTGTCACACGTGCCTTGAATCACATATGACAGAGTAGGGAAATAGACTCTCAAGATGAATTAACTTGTGGTGGAAAAGAGAGTCTCTCCTAATCAGAAGAGCAACACCCTAAGTTAGACAGGCCGCAAAACAGCACTGATATCCAGAAGAATCAAGAGAAAAGGACACTCTCTTCAATGAGATCTTCAATACATAGGAATGGACACGGATAAGAGACCAAATTTAAAACATGCCCTCCATGTCCAAATCCAGAAATTCAGGATTATCAACCCCCATATCCGCTCCGTTCAACACATCATCGATACTAGTATCCATGCCACCATCCATGCCCATACCGATCCCAATTCCCATTCCCATTCCCTGTCCATTTCCGGTACCAAGTTCCCCCGCTCTAGAAGCTACCGCCTCTGTAGCGTCAAGAATTTGACTAAGGCTCCCCGCATCCTCGCCACGCTGATCCGGTTGGCCCGTCTGCTTTCCACCCTGGTCGGTGTCATGAGCCTGGCCCTGGCCGCCTATTCCCATATGCTCCTCGTCTAAATTGATATCTTGCATGATGTTGCTAACATCTATGTTTGAAACCTCCTGCGTTATCTGGGGGATAGCAGTAAGGGAATCAACTCGCCGGTTTAGCCGTACAATTAGCTCTGCGCGAAGGGTATCGGTGTCAATCATTTTAGAAATAGAATCGCGCTCAAAGGCAAGTGCATCGCGGAGAGTGAGGATTGAACGGCGGGATATGGCGTCTTTAGAAGAATTTAATGGATGAAATTCAGCCTGTTCCGCAGCAAAGGATTCTGACAGTGGAGCGCAGATTAGAGTGGCGGCTATATCAAGGGCTATATCTCCGCTTCCTGTTTCAGCCTGAAGTCTGAGTTCGTCAACTATGCCCCGCAAAACACGGACGGCGCCTACAAGCTTTATTCCGGCCACAAGCTGTCGGTGGGTGTAGCTGGGAGGAGTCATACTTATATCTGGGTCCGTGCTCCAGAGTACGAGGGACGAGAATGCGTTGCGTATGCTGGCGACAATTCCCCCACCTGCTGGGTTTGCGGCCCACCCTTCTACTTCGCCACAACGAGCTGTGCCGCGTCGCTGGAAAGAATGGTATGGCTCCAAAGCTTCAAGGATAGTCTTTATGTCGTTTCTGGATGGGTGTCGCGTGCGAATGCCCTTCAGTTGATCTTCCAACGACTTAGCGGTTATAAATAGAACTGTGCGATGGATTTCCTGTCCTTCTCCTGATATAGAACTGGGCTTAACAAGTGCAAGTAGAATTTTTAACGACGCGGATAGATCACTTTCCGATTCCAAAATATGATGCCCAAGCCAGGTCAATGCCATAACTAGAGAGGGCAAGAGAAAGGGTTCCAAGAGATCTACAGAGGTTAGCCACTGTTTTTCCACGTTTATTTGTAATGGACATACGTACATTCGAATCCGCCTTTCAACGTCTCGAACTCCAACTTCCCAGCCTCGCAGGCAGCCAAACTCTGACTGAAAAGCGTCGCAACGAGGTTATAAAACTCTTGTGGGCTACATGATGACATTGACTCGTCACTTATACCTTCCGCAATAAATAGAGCGGTAATCCATGCACCAAGGTTATTCTTTTGCTTTTCATCCAAGTCTTCGAGTCTCTGGCTGGACGAGCCATGCTGCAAAAGTCGCAAAACAAACGAGTCGGGGTTAGAAATTCCTAAATCCTGATGAGATAGTCCGTATTTGTGCTTGAAGGCAAGAACCAGCAATAATATGCCGCCGAATTCATCATAGACAGGTTGGTTTTCGCCTGTGATACCATCAGTACAAGTGATATTTTAAGATATTGTGATTCTGTATACCTTGTTCTTCATCCCATTTCCAGGCATCGAGTAATGAACACAGCGGTTGTAGAATAGTTGATGAACTGATAAAAAGTAACATGACGTCCAACGACTGAGGCCTTCGTGAGAGAGCATTGCAGATATTTTTCAGGGTCATTGTGTCTTTCCTCGAGCATAAACTATGCATTACCTAGCAAGGAAAGTATTGTTAGAGTTGGAAAGTTTTATAGCAGTAAGAACATGCTCATACTTCTGTTATAGCCGCAGCTATGGCACCAGCATTACCTTCCATGGACTCGAGTTCATTTATCAGTTGTTCCGCACGTTCAGGATTGTTGTTGATCTGGGAGACTAGATATTCTCTCCGAAGCTGTCCTCCAACAGGTAAGGTTTGCATGGGGTTTTCTCCTAATAGCCGCTCGATGCTTGCCTCGGGTATCAATTTGTGCAAAGCGCAGGCGAATAAAAATTCTTGCCGGACGTCCGAAAGAATAGTATTGCCTTGCATAGTAAACATTTCTGAAAACGACGGGAATGCATTTGGGTCAATGCGGCTGAGTGCACGAGTGATACAAAGTTCCATTGGGATGGGATCAATAGAGGAAGCACACATTTCCGCAAAAAATGGAGGGAGTTTGTTAACTAGAAAGGACCGGAAGATAAACATGGTTCGATTTGGCTCATTGCGATACATCCCATTTGACAAAACATCAAAGGTTGCGGTGATGAGGTCTTCAATGAGTGTCATGCGATCGTGCTAGAGAATATCGTCAGTTTCCAAGAGTAATTTGCACTGATTTTCAAAAACTTACTCCATAACGATTATTTAAGTAGTTGATGAACATATTATCGTCAATAAGAGGCCTCCCGAAGAGCTTTAGGCTGGTTAACACAAGCATAGAAATAACCCGTAAGGCACAAAACATACCAGGGCATTGATGTAAATATAGGGACCTGCTCTCGAGTTCATTATAGACCCATCGAGCACGTTGGACTCGAATTCTAGAGCTGAAATATTGACATTTTCCATCATGGTGTCCTCAAGAGACTTCTGGCCATCGTGGACATAGAGATTGAAATCTTTTCGCAAAACCTCGAGCCTGTCCCTTAATGGAATGGATACACCGCTGCAGAGCGGAATATATGCAGAGAGAGCCCGAGATAGTTTATCTCTCCACCCTGATGGTTAAAAGCAAATCAGCACTTAAAATACATCACACACAGTTAGTGGATGTTAGGAAGATAAAAGTACCTTTAGACTCTGAGGACGAAAGGGCATTTACTGACTTCTCCGTACCCACAAGAGCGGCAAGAAGAATTCCCAGCGATTCGAACACTGCTAGAGTGTCGGGAGAATTTGCCAACAAGTCAGCAGGTTCACGTCCCGCTTCATTACTCGACATCCATGAAAGCAATGCGATAATCCAGTGTGCGAGCATGGCAAATATATTTGCTGCGTCGGTTGTTGTGTTGGGTGCGTGTCCTGATGTTGCTGCAATCGTAGCATTGTGGATAATGCAGTAGTCACTCATCAGCGTGCTGACTGATGTTTTTGGCCTCGATATGCTCTGCACAGACTCCTGCTTCTGAGAGACCGTTGAATGTACGAGAAGGGATTTCAATATTTCTTCGATTTTAACCCTCCCGATTCTGTGCAGAGAGTCCACATAGAGTGGTATTAAGGGGTCCCAGGGTACATTTGTAACCGATCTTGACTCTAGAATAGCATCTACGAGCTTTTCCCCCGGCATGGGATAGCGATTTAACATAAGCTTCGCAAAACCCCTAAATTCAGAAGCATCGGTCCTTTGAGAAAGACATTGATGAAGAAACTTCTTCCACTGCAACCAAGGGTTCTTGACGGTCTTCATGGCGTTCATCGTGGCTGTAAAAGTTTCATTCAATGATGTGCAACCAGTTCACATTCATTCACAAGCAAGGAAGATAACCATGGTCAGCAAGACACTGGGCCATTCATTACATTTGGGGATAAGCCCATGTGCACAAATTCCCAGGCAATTATTTCATTGAAGGGGTCATAAATATAATTCCGAGATGTTGAAGATCAGGATACACAGGGAGGCGGGATTGTGTTTACGTAATCTTGCTTTTGTTCCAGGCAAACCTTGGAATATTTGACCAGTTCGAGTTATTATTTTATATTTTCTTATAGACACTAATAGTGCCGCTGCGCAACCCACACCTCATGTGGGTGTGCCACACCAAAAACAATAAAAACACCAAAATGATAAAAATCTTGCAATTTCATCATCTTCATCATCTTCATCAATTAATAACTCACCACAATGTCAAATAAAGTTAAAAGTATTGAAGATTGTATTCAAAAAGCTGTCACTTATCATCAAAAAAACTCAAATTTCAAAATACTGTTTCTGTCATGAGAATTTGAGGTTTTTTATCAATGTCTCTGAGTACATATCAATGAAAGATATCTGAATACTGCAAAGATTCCAGTTAACAAGAGATTAAATAAGAGTTAGAAGGACATAATTAAATGATGAGTCAAGCTGCTTGATGAAAAGAATTATCCTCCCACAGCTGAACATATTGAAAATTTTACAAATTCAATACTTAGACATCAGCACATAGAT